GAAAAAAGAACTTTAAATGAATAAATAATTTCGAAGTTATTCAAATTATTTATTTAAAAATTTAATTAAATATGTAAATATACATACTTAGTAATTGTTTGAAAACAAATTTTAATTAGTATTAGTTAAAATAAAAAATAATTTTAACAATTTTTTAAAGTTTTTCTAAATGTTTTTATTTTTAATAAATTAAATAAAATTTTTAGAATGAAAAAAAAATAAAAGAAAAATTTATTTTAAAGCTTAAAAAGTCAACTTTTGCCAACTTTTAGAGCAAGCAATTAACAAAGTTGGAGAAAAAGCATTCTCTGAAAAACAAAGGAAACAAAAAATTTTCTTAATTAAGTAGAAAAAGGAAATATTTGGAAAAATAAAAAATATATTCTTTCAAAAAATTTTCTTTTTTCTAAGAAAAGGAAAGATAAGAAAAGTAGTAGATAGAAAATAGACGTCTGTGATAACAAATAAAAAGAAAGGGAGATGGCACATTACAAATTGAATTTATAAATATATGGAAAAAGCCATTGATATATTTAAATATTTAAATATATAAGTATTTAAATTAATAAGTAAAAAATATTTTAGAGAGAAGAATGTGAAGGAAAGGAATAAATGGTAAAAAGACAAGCACGTCTTTAACATTTATTTGGCCTAATGCTTCACGCAATACTTGTGCTGATGCTCAACAAACAAATTCCATGTGGGAATATTTATGTAAAAATGCTAATAAATAGAGAGAAAAAAATAAATAAAAGAGAATGTATGGCTTTATTTCCTTATTTTTTTTATTATTTTAGCTATTCCGTTGGCACTTTTACTTTCATCCTGTTTTTTTACAAAACCCTCAAATAGAAAAAAATGGCAAAGTAAAAAAATAAAAAAAATATTAATTCGTGTCTATAAAACACTTAAAAATGAATAAATTCTTAAAAAGTTGTCTATATGTATATCTAGTTATTTAAATAAATATTTATTTTGTAATTTTTAGGGAGTTTAAAACTAATAGATCCTCTCATTAATATTTTTCCAAAAAATAATTGTATAAAATTCAAAACAGCAATTAAATTAGAATTAACCAATTTAAGACTAAATTAATTTAATTTCTTTAATTTCCAAACCATTTGTATGTACAACTACATGATGACTGGAAGGATGATAAAGATGATAGGCTTGGTCGTTTTGATGAGCTCTCCGGTTTCCACTACTAGCATGTCCGCTTCCACCTCGTTCCATCGCAATAACTGCTGCATTGGCATGGTTATTACCCATTTTTGTTGTTTAATATTTTTTAATGAAATTTGTTAACTAATAAACATTAACAGGCATATAAATATAATTTTATGTTGTATAATAGGAATTAATTTCACTACAAAATATTTTCAATTTTAGAAATTTTGTTGATCTTTTGATGCGCTCGTTAGAAAGTACTTTTGAAATACTAAACTTGTAATTACAAAATTATTCTGATTTATGTTGATAATTCGAAGAAAAAAAGAAAATTTAGAATCCTAAATTGATTTAGAGGATTTTTAAAAAATATGAGATCCCCCTAGCCAATAAATGAGGAAATATTATTTTGTTTAATATTTCTTTATAAAAACATGTCTTTTTTGTTTTTAAACAATTTGTCGATTATTTAAAAGTTAAAGCTCTAAGAAATAATTGTTGATTGTTTAATGTCGCCGCAAAAAATGTTATACTTATAATTCACACATCTTACTTTCGACAAGACGAATGATTAGTTAAAAATCTGCCAAATGTACTAAAATAAAAAAATACTTTTGTTTCTCTCCTTCTATTGTTTTGTTGAATATATTTATTTATTTGAAGTATTTCCGTTCCCACATAAATATTCTCGTCCTCTACAGCTATTTCCCTTCTTTATAATCTCTTGTCATTTTGAAAAAACGGAAGCATGATCACCAAATACACAGCAGCTGATTGCAAAAGACGATCAACGTCTTGAGAAGATAAATTTTAAATAAAGGAGGAGAGTGATAGAAGGTAGATATGAAAAGCAAAAAGTTTCTCAAATATTTTTTTTTGCTTTTCTCTTCTTCATGAAAATGTTTTTGATATGTATGTACATACTGACATTCATTGATCCATCTCTCCTTTATCCCGTTGATCTTTAAATCCGAGCCTAGCGCTTTCACTAGATATTCTTTTATTTTTTTCTCAAAAAAAGAACAAGAATTGTGTAGGTACATAGACAGAAATACAAATGTAAAACTATGAAAAGCTGGCAGTTATTCTGAAACAAAAAATCTCTTTTTATTTATCCTCCCTTTCAAATTCACTGATCTAAGAAAGCCATAAGGTTAAATAAATTAAATATAAACGTTGGAATTAAAGGTAGTCTGTTTAATTTTTAATTAAAAATAAAAAATCGTTGAACTTTTAATGAAATTATTTAAAATATTTGGTCCAATTAACGTTGATAAAATATAAAAAATAAATATTTACAAATTTTAAATGATTAAAAAGATTAAATTTATAGATTAAATTTATAGATACCTATAGAATATTAAATTGTTAAAAAATGAATAAAATATTAAATAATAATTAATTGTTTTTATAAGAGAAAAGCTTTTCAATCCAAGTAAAATTCTCTTAAGAAAATAAAATTAAACAATAATTTTTTTTAATTTCGTGTTATTAGTGAGGATTATTTACAAATGTATATATATAGAAATATTTAAAATACTTACAAAGAATTCCATATATAAAACCATTTAATTGCCCACTTATAGTTGATTGTTGTTGACCACAATTTAATTGTAATAAATTGTTGTTTCCCTCAAAAACTTTTTCCTTCTAAAATTTTTTTCACTTTTATTTAAAAATATTATTTATTTAATTACTTCACTAAATTCATTAAAAGAAAAATTTTCAAAGAATTGCAGCAAATGTCTAGGTAAAGCTTTGAAACCAAAAATAGATACATATTGATGCCAGAAGGTTTGCCATTGTGTAGTGTTAAGGGAAGTAGATAACTGGCAAAGCCATTGATCCCAGAATTGGGCATCCTCTTTAATTGTTATATTTAAAAATAATTTAAAAAATAGTAATCTATCAATATTTTTATTTAAAATAATTATCCAAAATGTAAAATTAACTATTAATTTTAAAGAAAGTACTTAAAAAATTGATATATTTAGTACCTAATATATTCCTCGGCAAAAGTCCAGAAATTACTAAAGCTTGAGGAGAAGTTAAAATTGCTTCAATGATTGCCTTTTCTTGATTATAAGGGTAATTCTCTTGTTTATAATTAAATAATCGAGTTTTTTGTTGAATTAATGTTTCCTTAAATTAATATTTTATTTTCTAAATATTTAATTAACCTCTTCTTCTATTTGAAATCCGGAAGAAGACGGTAAATTTTGATAAGAAAAGGAAGGTAAGGAAGAATTAAATAAAGGAAAAGAAATTTTTAGAATTTGAGGTATTTGATTATTAATTAAGTTTTTTGTTTGTAAAGATTTTTGTAAATTAGCTACACTTGTTGAATTAATTAATGGAAATGGGGGAGTGGAATTATTATAATAATTAAAATTAATAGGTGAATTTAAATGCCCAGCAAAATTTAATCCAAAATTTCCCTTAAAATTTTAATTTTTTATTTTAATAATTCTAGTTTAAATTCTAACAGATGTTGAAGAAATTGTTGGGAATTCTTCTTCTGATTGTGGACAATCATTTAAAATATTATTTGTTTTTTGTATATTATTTAATTCTTTATATGATTTTGTTAATATTTTATTATTATTTACTAGTTGATTATTTATTGAATTAAATGAAAGAGCATTTCTTCTTTTTTCTAAAGGCATCTTAAATGGAAGAAAATAACAGAGTTTTAACAAATATCAGCAGATTACATAAAATATTTTGGTAATTATAATTTTAATTAAATTTTGAAATATTCATTTCTTCATAAAATTAATAATATTTTACTAAATTTTTTAAATAAAATAAGGAAAAATTAAAGTAAAATATAAATAAAGAAATATACAGGCAAACATCCAATGCTTCTTTTATTATTTGTCTACCTTTCACAAAAATTTCCCGAATGTCCGAATTTAATTTTTTTATATTATTTTCTATTTTCCTTGTTTATATACAGTCTCTCCTCTCTCTTCTAATTCTCTTCTTGGATCTGTCAATATAGTCAAATTGTTCTGCGCGCATTCTACAAACATTGGTCAATTTTTAGCAATTTCTTTCTTCTCGTAAATTTGTTTGTTCAAAGAAGAATGGAAGAAATAATAATTAAATCAATGAAAAAATATTTATATATAAGAAAATACTTGAATAATTACCTTGGGTAATTATTCTTTAAATTTACAGAGACTTTTGTAATATGTAGACGGTTTCAAATGTTTGGCACATACGAGGATGAAATTTAATATTTTTTCCTTGACATTATTTTTTAAATTTTGACAACTGCATATATCTACTTGAGAGAATTAAATTTTAATTTCGATAACGATTTTAAAAATCTTTAGATAAACATCAAAAGTTGCTTCTTAAAATAATATTGACAAATATTATTGTGATAAAGGTGCAAAATATTTTTATATTTTAAACAAATGTAAAAGCTTTTTAAAATAAATATTATAATAATATTGTTTTTAAGCTAATAAAGCTAAATTAATTAATTAATTTAATTAATATTTGTATCATATTAGACAAGGGTTACAATTTGTACAAACAGTGCTTTCATATGTACTTTTAAATTAAACTTTTTGTATTTTTAACTTTTTCTCTATCACATCCCTTTATGTGTTAAACATTAAAATAATTCTTTTAAAATTGTGAGTTTTCCAAATCACTTTTTTATTGGACAATGCATTTGTTTATTTTGAAAAATAATAGAGAGAAAAAAGTTTAAATGCCTCCGCTCTTTAATTTTATGTATTAATTTAATATAAACATTCGACTAAATAAATACATATATTTTATTTAAAATAATTTTAATTTTTCAAAATAAAATAAAGATGGGAATTAGCAGTGCAGATCGTGGTATATCAACAGTTTTAAATCTTTTTTCCCTTCTTTCATTGCCATTAGCTCCTGACGAGTTAGACAGGGATATGAGTAAAATTAATAGGTTTTTGAAAGTTTATTTAAAAAATCATTTTTTTATTTAAAAAAAGACAAGTTCAAGAATTGGTCCCAAAATTATTTTCACATTACGAAAGAGAATCTCCGCCAACACCTAGTAATGGGGGACCTGTTGAGGTTTAATATTTTGTTAATATATTTTTTAACTTAAATTAAAAGATTGTTAGTTATTTAATGGTTGATCATATTGAAGATATGGTAATTAGTTTTAAAAATTTTAAACAAATATAATTTTAGAATGAATTTCAACAATCAATTACATTTCATGGAACACTTATTTTAGTTAGAAACATATAAAAATATTTTTAATTAATTATTTAAAATAAATTAAAATCTAAAAGAATTGGCTTGATGAACGTTTGGCGTGGGAACCTAGGGATTTTGGCCAGTTGGACAAGCTATCATTTACTGGCTTTGATTTGAGTCGTTTTTGGTCTCCAGGTGTTACTGTTAAAGGATTGTAAGTTATAATTACAGATATACAAGACTTAGGATCAAAGATTTAGACATATCAAATATATTTTAAAAATTCAAAATTTGAGTCAGATTTATCCTCAAGACAGACCGAAAGACCGTTATAAATTCTGCTTCAATTCTAGCAATCTTGAATGTCTCAAGCTATAATTATTAAATTATTATTTTAATTTTTAAATCATTTTCTTTTGTAGAACAATGCCTTCAAAAGAGTTGGCAATGTTTCACAATACTGCATATACAGTAAATGATTTTGTCACAATTAAAAAATATTTAAATTATTTAGTTAACATATCAAGGATATATTTTTGCAGAAATGAGTATAAGTATTAAAGCTGCATGTCGATTAGATTTAACTAATTACCCTAATGATAATCAAGTATTTTTTAAAAATATATTTAAAATAATCAAAATAAAACTAATTTAATAGACTTGTTTTGTAATGGTATTTACTCCTATATATCAAACAGCCAGGCATTTTTAAATTATTTTAAATAATTAATTAATTAAAAAAGAGTAACATTTACTGCTTCTTCAACAATGTTAACTAAACATTCCCTTTTCGGAAATGAAAATAAAATGACAATAACTAGTGGATTTGAGCTTGAATCTTTAAATTCTCAACGTTTCTTTGCTTACTCTAAAGGATTTACATCTAATCAAAGCGAGTAATTAATTAATTAATTAAATATTTTTTAATAAATAAATTTAAAAAAGGGCCGATTTATATTCATCATTAACAAACACTGTTTTACGATATCAAATTTGTCTAAAACGTAAAAATAATGGTCTTTATACAGCTACAGTTTCACTTCCACTTTTTTGTATTTCTGTGTATGTTTAATTAATTAATTTTATTTTTTATTTTATTATAATTTAGAATGTCTTTTATTTCTATTTTTGTACAATCTATTCAACTTGCATTACTTTGGCTATTTTTTTGTTTAGCACTTTTACAATTACAAAACCTTAGAATGTCAAAACTTCTTCCTCAAGATTTTAATTCCGAACCTTTTTGCAGTTAATTTTAAATTATTTTTTAAACAAAATATTTAATTTAAAGTTCGCTTTTCTCGTTTTCTTCTTTTTGAATTTTTCCTTTTATTTATTTATAGAATTTGGTATGAGTATCAAATTTCTAAATTAAAAAAACAACAATCAGAATTATTTAATTTAAATGAAAATTCGCATAAATTTACAGAAAGATTTTTTCCAAAAGTTTTTTAGAAATAAATTAAAATATTTAATTATTTATTTTTTAAAGGTCATCAAAAATTTGTTACCTACAATTTCTGAAGATTGGATTATTCGAATAAATGAATGGATTAAATATATTCTTTTTATTGAAATTATTGTAATATTTATTAAATTATTTTAAAACAAAATTAAATTTTTATTCATTACATTTAAATTAATTTAAGTAATTATATATATATATAATTAAATAATATAAAAATTATTTTTTTATTATCATTCCACTTTTTTTGATAAAAAAATTTTTTTAATGAATTCACTTAAATATTTTCAATAATTTTGTTGAAATAAACAATTTTCAAGAAATTTTTATCTAAATATTTTATTAAAATTCTTCTTTAATTTAATTAACAAACAGTAAATAAGTATATGAATCTAAGGAAATATTTTTATTTAGCAACGGTTAGAAACATTCCTTTATCAAATCATGAATTTTTTATTCTCAAATAAATACAATATTTATTTTAATAATTTATTTTATATTTTATTTCATAATTTTTCCAAATCAATTTCAATAAAAATTTCAAATATTCAATTTTAATAGTATGTATTAGATAAATAATAAAATACATATGTATCTTTATCAGTAAATTTTAGCCACTCCTTCATTATTCATATAAAATTTTTGAAAATACTTATAAAATTTTATTTTTTTTTTATTTCAAAGAATTTAATTTATTAATTTTCATTGTTATTTTTTGATAAAATTTTTTAAATAAAATATTTTAAAATTAAAATAATTTTAAGAATTTTTAGAATGTATTTATTTTCGTATTTCCCAATTACTTTAATAATTTTGATTAATTTCTTCTCAATATTCGAATCGGCAGTATTTAATGTTAATATTCACCCATTAAAACCAAAACAAAAAAATATATTAAATAAATGGCATAAAAGCATTAAACATTTTGGATTTTTAAATAAATCAGCAAAAAATGTTTTAAATGGAAACGAAGGGGAATCTGCTGAAATTGATGATATAGATATTACAGAAGATCGTTATTATTACCGAACTTGGCTTAATCCACAAGGAACAATTAAATTGGGAATTCCTCGTAATAATTTAAATGTATTTTGGAAATTAACAAAATTTATGTGCAATTTTTAAAGTTAAGGTTTCCTAAATCAATTGCCATTAGGTTGAGACATAAGTCTATAATTCACAGATCTATACATATTTATTTTGAATAAATTTCTATAAACTAAATCATTGATAATTTTTGGAATTTCGAAATTTTAAAATAATTTTATTTTTAAAATAAAATACATTAAAAATTATTTCAAAAATTAAAACAAATTAAGCACAAGATTTTATCGTTGCTTTCTCGACACGCTCACCAGATACTTTTGTAGCTCAAAGTGGCAGTGTTACCTGGGATAATTTTCTAACATTTGATAAAACGTAAATTAATTTAAAGTAATTAAATATATTTAATTTTATTTATTTAAGTAAATCATATACATATAGCTCTAATGAAGATATTTTTGAAGACTCGCTTTTTGGAACCTCTAAAAATCCATATGTACTTAATTGTGATAATCATAACAAAGGTGTTATTGGAAAGGACCTCGTTACGGTTAGTAGTTAATTTAAATTTCCATATTTATTTCATATAAAATACATAAAGTACTTAAATACTTTTAAATTGACTCGATTTCTAATAAGTTTAAAACGTAAAAAGTTTTTAAAATGATTCTATACATCAAAGCCACAGAACGCGTTTAACCTTTTTTGATAAAAATATCAATTAGCATTGAATGTTTTCGTTTACATATAATAAATTTTTAATTATTATTTTTAAATATTTAGTTAGGTGATACTTTAGTTCTTCCTCTAAAATTTGGTTTAATACAAAATGTAACAATACAGCAATGTATGGATTGGAAAGATTCTGATATTGAGGGAATGTTTGGATTAGCCCTTTTTGATTCTTCAAATGGAATTCCTTCAACTTTGAAACAATTAGCTCCAATTTTAGATAAACCTGTATTTAGCGTTCTTACGTATATTTAAATATTTATTTTTGAAAAGAAATTTTAATTTTTAAATAGTGATGGAGATACAATGAATAATGTTGAATATCATATGAAAATAGGTTCTTCAGAAATTGAGGGACGTTGTCGTTCTAAAGATTACATTTATTTCCCTTCAACGAGTGCTGAAATTGAAGAATCCAAAAAAGATGGATATCATACTCGTTTGTTGTCAATTGAATTAAAATATAAAAATGGAAGTTTTGCTCGTTGGATTTTACCTTCTAAAACAGATATTGAATTTACTAGATTAGTTAATGATGAATTAGGGAATTATGAAAGTCATATATATGGGTAAGTAAATAAATTTTATGAAAATTTATTTAATTTATTTATTTAGTGATATTGAAACAGTTAATGAAATAAATAAACAATTAGGTGGAAAATTAGAATATTGGCAGGATTATATACAATATATTCCTTGTAACGGAATTGATATGCCTTTAATTGTGCTTACAATGGGAAATAAAACACATAGGGCAGAATGGGCAATACCCCATGAAGAATATTCTATTGAAGTAAATAATTTAAGAAAATTTATTAAATAAAAATATTCTTTAAAAAATTTACATTTTAAGTGGTATGAAGATAGATGTCTTTCTTTATTTCAACATCATACATGGTTTGGTGCATGGACATCGTTAGATTATCACACACAAAATTGTTTTGCCATAAGCTTTGGTACTGAGGGGAATATGATTGGAATGGCTAGACCTATTGGAGGAAATAAATTAAAGAAAAAAAGCAAAAAAGCAATTAATAAATAATTATTAATTTAATAGTTCCTTAAATTTAAATATTTTTTTAAATTAAAAATTAAAATAGAATAAAATTGTTATTTTATGTTAATTATGTACTATGTTGGTTAATGATTTATAAATAAAATTATACAAGTTGAGGCAAATTCTCCAGCACTTTACCAATCTCGCGTCAAACCAACATTAATCACTAATTCTTTTTTATCTTAATCCCAAGACCTTAAGAAATTTACTGATATCAAAAGCGCCTTTAAATTTTATAATTTAGTCCATTAATCTTATCTCAATGTTTGAGCAAAATTTTTTTGATAAAAATTTGCCTAGATTCGAGGCTAAGATTTTGATATGCGAAGTGTAAGCTATTTCGGCGCGCCTGAATGGGATCATTTGGATTGAATGAGTTATCCCGAAATAAATAATATCCCGAAATAATAATACTTCTAAGTTCGAACGGGTTTATGTTGTGTATGGGCGTCAGCCCTTAAAGTGTTTAGTATAAAAGCCAGTTAAATCGTCAGTCTTGTCGGATCATACTAGCGGGGCTAGTCACTGATCTCCTTCGTCTGTCCCATTCCCTTCGCCTACACATTGTTCATTTCTACACGTGATAAATTGTTATTGTTGTGCTCGACGACTTTAGTTAAATCTCGGACACCTCGGGTCGTAACAGTTTATCTTTATTGTCTATGGTAATCTAATATTTATATTTATCTTTACTATCTTTACTACTATTTTCTGATAGAATTTTTTAAAAAAATTTTAATAGTTCAATAATCTGAAATATACAATTTAAAATCTTAAAATGATTGGGCTTTTCCTGTCAAAAAATATTTATGTATGTATACTTATTTAAAGTATACTTATAATATTTTATATCCAAGCAAATCTGTTCATTTATTATGTCCAAATAAACATAATTTATAAGACAAAATTGTCGACTTCCTTTTATTATTTTTAAAGGAAAAATTTGAGAAAAGATTCAGAATAATAGGCAGTCTAATAATTTTTTTAAAAATCTTATGTTGAGCAGTGAATTGCCCTTGGAATGTTCAGATAAACAATTGGAGGAAAATTCTGAATTAAAATCAGAAGATTTTTGGTTAGTAAATTATTTAAAAATATTCTTGTCCAATTATTTAATGATTAAAAATTAGCGAAAATCAAAAGAAAAAACAGACTAACAAATTCCCAAAAGAAGCTATTGTTACTCGTTATCAAGAACAAGATATCTCCACTTTAATACATTTTGGGCATTTCTATATTAAATCTTCACCTAGAATGAAGGCGGCAAAACAATTAAAAATTGGTTAAATAAATAATCATTTTTAAAATTAAATTTAAAAAAATTTTTTTATAAAGAAGCACCAAAGTCAGAAAATGTTGATTACTGCTTTAAAAGTCAAACAAAATCAAAGCGACAGCAAAAAATGGCATCAAGTTCTTCAATTATTTTTGACCAAAAAAATGTTATTTTAAGAAAAATATATTTAAATTGAAAAAAAACCCCTAAAATTTAATAGATTGTGCACAATCCATAAAAAATTCTAAAACAATTTTTTATTCAATTATTTAATAATTTTTAGCAGAATCGTATTCAAATAACTCATCAAAATGTTATGTCTATTGTAGATTATTCCCCTGGTAATTCCCCAACTTATTTTACAACAAAATTCCCAGATACAATTTCACCAGATGAAGATAAATTTAGGTAAATATTTTTTAGTTATAATTCAAAAATAATTATTTAGTTATTCTCAAAAAACAGCCAAAACATTAAATGATATTTCTTCAATTCCAAACAAAAAAAGACAAAATTCAAAAAGGAAATTTAAAAATTTTAATGAAAAAATAATTGATAATAAAAAATTAAATTTAAAAAATAAAAAATTGCAAAAACAAAATAAATTTGCGGAAAGTTTTGATGATTTAAAAAATGAAGGGGGAGATGATGATGAAGAAGATAATGATGATGATAATGGTATAATAAATCATACAGGAGAGCGTGAAACATGGGGTTAATTAATATAATTTGAATAGGGGATATACAAAGAACAGGAATGGGCATTTATCTACATACCATAACAGGGAAATCTACATACCACCTTCAGCCTTCAGTTTTTTAAAATGTGGCAGGACCCATCCATGATATACTATAATTAGGAGTTTTACGGGAAAATAAATATTTAAAATTAAATAGAAAGAAAAATTGATTTCCTCCTTTCTGTTGTTGGCTTTGCTGTTGATTTAGCTAATGTTTGGCGATTTCCATATTTATGTTTTAAAAATGGGGGAGGTTTTATATATTTTTATTTAAAAAATATTTTTTAAATATTAAATAGGCGCTTTTTTGATTCCATATACAATGATGGTTTTATTAGCAGGTAAAATTTAATTTTAAAAGAAAAAATAAATTAACTTTAAATTTAATTAAAAATGAAGGTATTCCACTTTTTTATATGGAATTAGCACTTGGACAATATCACAGAAAAGGAGCAATTACTACTTGGGGGAGAATATGCCCTTTATTTAAAGGTAAAAAACAAAAAATTTAAAGTAAATTATTTTTTATAGGAATAGGTTATTGTGTAATAATGACAGCATTTTACACAGATTTTTTCTATAATGTAATTATTGCTTTTGCTTTACATTATTTCTTTTCTTCATTTACAACAGAACATTTACCTTGGACTAAATGTTCTAATGATTGTATTTAATTATTTTTAAGATTTTTAAAAGAAAATATTCTAGATAATTCTCCCGATTGTTATGAACCAAATAGTTGGAGTGATCCTTCTTCTAATAAATGTGTTCCACAAAAAGAAATTAATGGAAATAATCAAACAAAGCCAATATCTGCTGCCGAAGAATATTTTTAGTTAAAAATAAATATTTTCTAACGAGAAAAATATTTAAATATTTTTTTAGTAAATATTTTCTTGGATTACATCAAATAAAAGAATCTACTCCACATATTTCACAAAATATTGATAAATTTAATTCTATTAATTGGGGAATTGTTTTTTGTCTTTTATTAGTTTATTTAATTTGTTATTTTTCTCTTTGGAAAGGAATTAAAATGTCTGGAAAAGTTTGTTCTGATATTAAACTTTAATTATTTTTTTAAAAAAAGGTTGTTTGGTTTACAGCAATATTCCCCTATGTTGTTTTATTTTGTTTGTTAATTCGGGGAATTACTTTACCTGGTAAAATTAATTTAAAAATGTTTTTTTGAAAATTAATTAATTTAGGGGCTTCTAAAGGTATTGAATATTATTTGAGACCAAATTTGGAAATGTTATGGAATCCTTCTGTTTGGCAAGATGCTGCTACACAAGTGCTTTTCAAAAAAAATTTTTTAATTAATTTTTTAAAAGGTATTTTTCTCTCTCGGTCCTGGCTTTGGTGTACTTATGGTATAAAATAGGAGTTGGACAGAATCGGTTATTAACGGTACCTCCGGTTTTAGGTTAATCCAAATTTGAAAAACCCGATTTTCGAGGTTTTATTTTTTCAAATACCGGTTTTATTTTAGGGAAATTTTTTAAAAATCACTCATTTTGTTTAAAACCGGTCTTGTCCAACCCTAAAATATAAAGTATAAAAAATAAAATTATTTTAAAATTAATTAAAGGCTTATTCTTCTTATAATCAATTTCATAATAATGTATATTTTGATGCATTATTAACAAGTACAATAAATTGTGCAACAAGGCAATTATTAAATAAATTAAAATATATTAAATAATTTAAAAAAAAGTTTTTTGGCTGGTTTTGTAATTTTCTCTGTCCTTGGCTATATGTCTTGTAAAAGTGGAAAACCTATAAATGATGTTGCCCAAGAAGGTCCTGGGTAAATAAATAATAAATATAATTTAACTTTTTTAAAGTCTTGTATTTGTTGTATATCCAGAGGCATTAGCTACAATGCCTGGGGCAACTATTTGGTCATTAATATTTTTTCTAATGTTACTTACATTAGGATTAGATAGTTCGGTAAATAAAATAAAATTTAATTTAAAAAAATATTTTTTTAAAGTTTGGAGGTTCAGAAGCAATAATTACTGGTTTAAGTGATGAATTCCCAATAATTAAACGAAATAGAGAAATTTTTGTTGCAATTCTTTTCTCTTTTTATATGTTAATTGGAATAACAATGTGCACAAAAGTAGGGCCTTGAAAGAAAAAAAATAATTTAAAAATTAATTTAGGGGGGAATGTTAGTAATGGAATGGCTTATTGTTTACAGCACAACATGGGGGCTTTTAATAGCTGTCTTTTGTGAGACTGCCGTTATTTCCTTTATTTATGGTTATTTAAAAGAAATTTTTAAATTTAATTTCTAAAAAAAGGTATCAAACGTTTCTGTTCTGACATTCAAAAAATGCTTGGATTTAAGCCTGGTTATTATTGGAGGTAAATACATTTATTTATATTTTAATTTATATATTTAAATATTTAATAGAATTTGTTGGACAATTGGAGCACCTATTTTTCTTATTGTTAATTAATTTAAATTAATTTAAATAACTCTTCTTTTCTAGGCAATGATTATTTCGAGTTTTATTAATTTACAACCTCTACAATATCAAGATTATATTTACCCCCCAATAGCTAATTTAATTGGAATTATTTTTGCACTTTCTTCTGTTTCAGCAATTCCATTAGTTGGAATTTATATGTTAATTAAAGCAAGAGGACAAACAATTAATGAAGTATAATTAATTAATTAAAAATATTTATTTAAAAATAATAATAATTTTTTTAAAGAAATTTTGTCAAGTAATTAAACCTTTATTTGAAGAAGAAAATAATGAAAATAATTTAATTTACCGGCCAGAATTAATTCGTGCTAGTCGATTGACTTATGCTAGAGTAAATATGTTGGCAATGAATGAAAGTTTGGATTTTAATGAAATTGAAAGAGGAAAGTTTAATAAATCAGAAGTTAATACTTTAAATAATTTTGTTGATTATAATGATATTTTACTTTAAAAAATTCTTTTAAATTTTATTTTATAAAAATTGTAATTTAAAGTTGGCGGCTCCTGGAGAATTTCTGGAAATTTTTAGATATTTTTTTTCTGATACCTTGAATTCGCTAACTTTTAATATTTAAATAATTAAATAAATATTTTTTGTATTTAGCAAAAAAAAATTATTTTTAATTTAAAAGTGCAAACATTCTATTTTTTATTTAATAATACATATTTTTAAAAAATATTTTTTTTTATTTTGAAAGACTGTTTTTCCGACAATTTTTCGGGGTTTTTCTTTAATGTATAATCAATCGGAAATTAAATAAATTTATTTTTACAGACTGTCTATACATATATTTCCCAATAATAATTTTATTTTTACATGTAAATAAAAAGTGCAAAAAATTGTTTATAAATATAGGAGGAAATTAATTTTTATAGCAATTTAATTAAAAAATCCCGTCCTTTTTTTATTAAATTCAAAAATAAAAATTAAAAAATGAATATTATTATTTTGAGTTTTTTAATTATATTTTTGTCAAAAAATGATGCAGCATTTGAAGGAATTTCTCGTCAGAATTTTATGAATGAATTTAATAAATTAGGGGAAACTTTAGATTTATATATTAATCGAAAGGTGGATAATGACAGTAAAATGATAATTACTAATGATAGAATTGAAAAATGTCAAAAAATAATTTCGACATTTAAAAAAGAAGGGGAAGAATATTTAGTAAGGGATATTGAAAGATCTGTTATATTAATACAAGGTATTCTCTTTTGTGCAAGATATTTGCATGGTGCTTTGTGGAAATATTTTACAGGTAATATTTTAATAAATTGAATTAACCTACTAGAAATTCTAAAAAAGTCTGGGATTTACGTATCTGAGATTTAGACACCCCGTATCCCGTTCAAAAAATCGAATAATTCCGCTGTTTTGGCTCTAGACGGTCCAAATTTTTTTTGGGAAACTCTCTTAAGAAAATAAACTTTAAAAAATATACATGTAGAAGGAAAGAAAGTAAAGGCTGACGTAGATAATGATTATAAATTTTTGCGCTCAAAATTGGAGGAAGTAGGATTAGATGATTTGAAGAAGCAAATAATAGATAATGAATTAAAATTGAAAAATTTAAATGAAAATGAATTAGAAAAAATTATTGGAAATGAAATGGCTAAAGGAAATATTCAATTAATTAATGACAAATTAATTTATTGTCAAATTAACCAGAATGATTTAAAAATGGTTAAATTTGGAGAAGCGCTTCAACTTGTTGGGGAAGTAATTAATTTTTATTTTGAGAAAGAACGTTTCTTTCCAACAAAAAATGATATTCCTTTTTTTGATGAAATTAATGAATTGAATGAAAAATTGAATAAGGAAATGAATGAAATTGAACAAAAAATAAATGAAGAAAAATTGGGTGAGTTTGTTTATTTTAAATATTTTTGTTGTCTGCCAAAATTTTGTATTTATTTTTGATATAATTTTTAAAAAGTACATATAATAATATCAAGAATTTATGGAATTAAAATCAAAAATGTTAATTAATTAATATTTATAGTTGAGCAAATTGAAGAGATGAAAATAGAGATAAATAATAAAGATATTAAAATGTCAGAAACAATTAATTCACAAAATACGCAATTCTTTAATTTAGCAAAATTAGCTGTTGATGCTAACACTTCCTTATTAAAATTTATTTTGTCACCTATAGAAGCAGAAAATAAAGAAGAATATTTAGAGAGAGAAATAAATTTACAAAATAATTTTATTTTACTTTTTGAAGATTTAAATAATAATTTTGGCTTAAAAATTTTAATTAATAATTATTATTTAATACCTAATGAAGAATTAAAAAATAATAATTTATTTAAATTAATTTCAAAACTTTTAAATTATTTCTATAAAATTAAAAATAATAAAAATATTAAAAGAAAACAAAAAACTTGGAAACGAAAAATATTAATTAAAAAATTTCAAAAAATTGGGGAAAATTCGTTAAATATTAGTGGAAAGTCAATAAAAAGGAAAAGAAGTGAATTATGGAATAAAGAAAGTCAAAAAATGAAGAAAAGAATTACAGCTAATGATTATTTAAAACAAAGAGAAAAAGTTTTGAATATTTGAAAGAAATGGTGATAGTGAGTTGGATAAATAATTAATTGTCAAGATGAAATACAGAATAATCATTTAATTTTTATTTAACTCATTAATAAAAATTCTTTTAATTTTCCCTTAATAATTATAGTTTATTAAGTAACTATAATTCCATCTAGTTTTTTTCTGTTTTTTAAAGTTCTGATTTTTTAATTAATCTGAAATTTATATAGAAGCTTTAAAATCTTTCTTCCTCAATCTTTTCTTTCCTTTAATTAAATGTTAATTAATTATTTTATTAAACCAAAAATCCCCAATTATTTTCTAAAACTATTCTTTAAATAAATTTTAAATTAAAATATTAGTGTTTAGTTTGTTTATATTTTGTATATTTCTCTCAAAATTTAAAATCTTTTTTTTAATTTGATTGTTTGCTAAAATAAATTTTAATATTTTATTATTTTTTTACATTTTTAGCTAAACAATTTTATATTCTATTTTTGTTAATCAAATGACACTTTTTATATATATTTTTTAAATTTTATGACTAAATAGAAAGCCAAGCAATATTTTCCTTTTTTGTATTATTTTCTTTTCATTTTTCAATTTTTATTTTTTAACAAAAAGTTGAATTAAATAAATAAAAATTTTATCTATTTACTTAGATACTTTCCTTTAAATTTAAAAGAAAAATTATTCAAAAGTTAAAAACACAATTTTATAAATTTTATTTTCAATCAAAGTAAATAAATTTATCTTTAAATTTTTTTTTCTAAATAATTTAAGAAATGAAGATTAATTTAATATTTTCTTTAAATTTAATAATTATTTTGGTTACTACTTTTTTTATTTTTAAATTATCAAATGCTAAAGACTATGGAGATTTTAATCCGGCTCCTGTTCTTCAAAAACCGAAACCTGGTCCAATTGATGATCCAGGACGAAAATGAATTTGGAAAAAACGAAGAGAAGAAATTAAAATAAAATAATTGTTAAATTAATTAAAATATTTTATTTGTTGTTGGAAATAAAAAATAAAATTTATTTTCTTATGTTAACTTTAAAGATTTAAACCTAAATATTTATCAAAAATTTATTATAAAATTTTATTTTTCAGAAAATATCGATTTAATTCGATGAATAAAAGTTCCCTTCATTTATTTCTTCTTTCCACAAACATTACAGCCCCCTCCATATCCATAATTTCCACCACCAGATGATGCAGGATAAGTATATGTATGGACAGTGTGGACAGTTCCTCCACTACCACAACCACCTCCTCCACATCCTCCTCCCCCAGAGCCACATCCACCTCCTCCACAACCCCCTCCTCCACCAGAGCTTGGTGCGTAACCACCTCCTCCAGATCCAAAACCTTTTAATTTAATATTAAAATAATTTTAATTTAGAAAAGAAACTTGGTGATGAGGATCCAGATGATGATTTCCACCACCAACTACTTCCACTTCCACTACCCCCATAATTCCCCCCACTTCCACAAGATGAGCAACCACCTCCACTACTGGGAATATAACTATTTCCGCTAGAGGCGGGGTAACTTGGATAACTACTGCTTGAATATGTAGAGTATCCTTTAAAGGAATATTTGTTTATATAATGTTTAATTTAAGATTTTATTTAAATTCACCACTTATTCCGCAAGTGCTACATGCTTAAATTATTAAAGAAAATTTAATAAAATAAATTAATTCAGAAAATCTAATCTTACTAGTTGCACAAGTACTACATCCACCATATCTTCTACTACGTCTAAATTTATTAAATTTAATTTTAAAAATTTTAATAAAATAATTAACAATTTTGTAATGGATTTATTATTATCCACTCCCTCTTTGTCTTCAGCAAATTCAGCTGGGACAAACCAAATAGCAGCAAAAACAAATAAAACAAAAATTGAACGATTCATAACTAACAAAGTTTAACAAATTAATTTTTAGTTTAAAGATGCTCTCATTAATGTCTTCTTTATATAGCAAGTCATCTAAATTTTTCGTAGAAATTCTTGATGAGTAATTCCAATGTTTTTTTTGGAATTTTTGTGAAAGAGTAATCCCGCCTTTTAATTTAAACAAAATTTATTTATGTGTTTTCTCTCATTTTCTACTTTTGTTTCGTCTAAATATCTGTTCCCTCAATTTGTGTAAAAAGTTTAAAACGTCACAAAATAAAGATGCGCGTTAATGGTATTAGTTGACACCCAAAAATCTTTTTTTATTACAGCATTATTTTTTATTTGAGATTGACAAATTAAAAAGGAAATTTTAAAAAAATTAAAGAATATGTATGTATTTTAATTTTTTTAATTAGAAGGCCTTGAATATACAAAACATTTTTGTATATAATTAATGATCGGATGTTTGACAGAATGTCTGTATGGCAGATGAAAGTAATGACGTTTAATTTATAATTATTATTTAAAATTTTGTTAGACATTTTTTAATTAAAAAAATTATTTTTTAAACTTTCTTAAAATAACTTTTTATTTTAGGGAGTGTTTTAAGAAAGAGTTAATAAATTCCAAACATTTTTTAAATATATTAATTGATATTTATTCTTTGATGAAAACCGGCTGATTAAAAATTGAAAAAAATAAATTTCTTAATATACACACTAAATTTAAAATATTTTTTAAGAAAAATAATTTATTTATCAAATTTAGATATTTTAATTTGAGAAAAGTTTAAAAATTAAAAAAATTTTATTAACTAAAAATCAAAATTAAATATTAAAATATTAAAATTCTAATGTTTGATATAAATTTATAGATATTCTTTTGAATAATTCCAGTCATTTACATATTTTCTGTAAAATTATTCCTTAAATTTATTTTACTGTTTTTAAATGAAAAAATATTTACTATTTATTACCTTTCTTATTAATACCGATAAACAGAGCGTTCATGTTGTCCAGTATATGGGCAATAATAATAATATCCTGAACGATTACTTTTTGGGCATTGTTGGGCAGCTGATCTTAAAAACCATTGATACATTGAGCCTTGCTTAAATTAAACAAAAATATTTTCTTTTATTATTTTCAAAACTTTATAATATTCATATGTAGCATTGTGTTGGTGTATAGGTGATTTTGGGAAATATGGCCAATAATTGAGAGATACTTCAGCATTTCCAGCTGAATTAAGTCGAGGATATTTTTTACTAGCCATAGATATATTAAAATAAATATGTTAATTTATTTCTAAAAATAATTTAAAAAATTTAATTAATTATTTAATTTACTATTAAATTAAAAATCGAAATTTCTTTCGAATACCTAAATATATCTAATTATTCTTTAATCTTTTTATAAAAATATAATATAGTAAATATATATTTATTAAATAAATTCAACAATTTTAATTGATTGGCAACGCATATTTAATGATCCAAGTAAAATAAAAGTTTAGATGATTAAACATAAAAATCCCTCTCAAATTCTTTTGATGTGCCAACTGTTTATTTTTTCTTGTATGTAGAAATAATTTAAAGAGAAAATAATTTTTTAGATTAAAAATTAAATTTAAAATAAATATATTTTGATTAAATAAAAATTTAAAGTTGATTAAATTTCGAAAGAAAATAAAACAATTTTTATTTAAACTTTAATTCAGACAAAAAATTTTTATCACGAATATTTTTATAAAATTTATTTATTTTAATTATCTTCCCATTTCTCAATTACTATTCTTTCTTGTTGAGGGTTTTGATTCTGATCTTGTTTAATTTTCCCATTACTTTCATTGTTTGTTGGTAATGTTTTTATTGTTCTTTTAGCTTAAAATAAATTTATAAAATTAATTAAATAGAGTTTATGGATGTTATTTTAAATATTAAATACTTTGAGTTTGTTGATGTAGTAAAGGTTGTTGATTATTATTATAAATTGGTTGGTTATTATTTAATTGAGACGGTTTAATTAAAGGATTAAATGATGGATTTTGATTGTTTTTAGAAGATTCTAATTGAATTTGAGGTGAAGATAATGGTTGATTCTCAATTGGGAGTTGTAAAGGCCCTTGGGGATTTTGAGGATATGGAGGTTGTTGAGGAGGAGATAGTTGGTATGGAAGTGGTTGGGGAGGAGGAAAAGGAGGAGGATTTATTTGACCAGAAAATTGTTGAGGCAGGAGGTAGGGAGACAGACTTTTTTGTTGTTGGGGAAAATTATAGAAATTTTGATTTGGAGGAGGAACAAAATAATTTGGACAAGACTGTGGATATGTTGAAATTTGTCTTAAATATTTAGAAATTAAATTTTTATTTATTTTAAATTACGCCTGAACAAAATGCCGGTTCATTCCTGGCAATGAACACCAGGGTTGACTTTGACTAATCCAGCCTGCCAAAGTGCCTTGAGGACAGCAGCAAATATGCGGAAAATAATAATTTTGTGGGCACTTTTGAATTATTTATATTTATTTATTTAAAATTTTATAAAATTAATTTACAATTGCTGGACCATCATAGGCTTTAATTTTATTTAATGTTAATATTAAAATAATAATTAGTATTAATAATTTGTTAATAATTCTCATTTTTTGATTTTAAATTTAAAGTAAATAATTTTAAATTTCGGAATAATTTGAAAAAATTTTTTAATATTTTTTAAATGATCATTCATATTTTAAAAGCAATAAATAAAATATAAAGGATGATTTTTATGAAATAAATTATTCTATCAAATACTTTTAAAATTTATCAAATTATTCAACATTTATGGCTAAAAATATTTAAGATTAAAATATAAATAAAAAAAGGCAAAAAATCTTTTGACTGAGCAATTTGAAGGCACTTTTAAGACACATTAGTATTTTTGAGCTCATCATAAAAAAAGTTAACTTTTGTTTTTTTGTAATATGCTTAAACTTAATTAATAATATTTATTTATTTAGATATATGAAATTTTACTTAAAAATACAGAAAATTGTAAAAATTGACAAAAAATTTTATAAAATTATTTCAAAAACAGAGGCACATTCTATACAAAAAGATTGAAAGGCGGAAAAAATCAAAAATATTTAAAATATCATTTTAAAAAGACTAAATTAATTAAAAATATTTAACAAAAAAATTCGATGAAAATTCTCAACATTTTTGTAAAATAAATTAATTTACACTTGAAATTAAATTTCTTTATTTGTTATCCCTGGAAAGAAGAAAAAATGTTTACAAAGTGTTGATAGAGTTTCCGGTACCTTTAAATAAATAAATTTATTATTTAAATTAATTTTAAACAAAAAATACTTGTTTATATTTTCCACCAGAATTGGACTCTTTTTTAGCAACTTCACTTTTAACATAAGTTAGCATTTTTAAAATATCATCAGTTTTTGCTCTTTTACTAAATACTTCACATAATGTTTGAATGAACCTTTAAAAATAATTTGAATTAATTAATGTTTTTAGATTTAAATTAAATTTGTTTCAAATTTCAGAAAGTCCTCAGAATAGTTTTTTATACATTTTATTGAATATTTTTATTTAAAACCCACAATTCAACTAAAATAATAGCAATAATTTATCAAAACCTACCAAGTACCAGTAGCTGAATTACGCCAAGAAACGTTGTTTGAAGTTGTAGCAGAGGCTATTAAAATATCTGCAAATGTTGGCACTTTTTCTATTTTTAGTCTCTTTTGAACTTTAAAAAATAAATATATAATTATAATTCTTATTTTGTTTTTTACCTCTACTTTCATTAAAATAATTTTGAGAATTTGGTGAGGGGGCATTTCTAAATATTGAGGAAGCATTTAAAGGATTATTATTATTGTTGTTATTATTGTTAGGTTTAATATATTTAGAAAAAATTGAAAATAAAGGAGAAAATGATGGGCCATCTACACATTCTTCTGTTATATGTTCAACACCTTCATCATAATTTTCTTTAAAAATATTTATTTTTAAATAAATTTATTTTCCAAAAAAAACCTCCTCTACATGCCTGGACTATAAATATTTTTGGTTTTCCTATTAATTTTGGTGCATTTTTTGAGTTAAGACACGACACGAAAGAATGAAAGTTAACAGGCATTTCATCAATGCCTAATAAATGATCAAACACTCCATGGCTCATTACAACCTTTTTAATTATAAAAAATATTTTTTACTAAACAAAATACCACAATAGCACTATCACATTGTAAATGTTCCTCCCTTTCAGCAAATTTTTGAATTGTAATCCACATTTGCTAAAATTATATATTTACATATATTTATTTTATTTTAAAAATAACCCGAGCAGTTAAATCTCTTTCACAAATTATTTTATATCCAAGTTGTTTAAAAAGATTACATAAACTAAATTCATCAACTTGTGTTCCTTCCCTATTTTGTTTATTTATAAATTGATAATTATTTATAATTAAAGCTAGTCCTCTTGGTGTCGAAAAATTTCGATAAATCTAAAATATTTTTCTATATTAATAAGTGCTTGTATTTATATATTATTTTAAAGACAAATAAAGTTGAATTTCTTCAGTTATAACTTTTTAATGCTTGATCCTATACAAATAAATTTTATATCATTTGAAACCCTCGATAAGGGGTATATTTATCTTACATTATCGATCAAAAAGTTATAACTCAATAAATGTGAAAAACATTATATAACTGAACTTATCGAGTTACAACTTTTCAATGACTGATCATATCTGATTTATATTAGAAAAAATATACAGATTAGTGAGCTTTCGAATGATATGAAATTAATTTGTATTGGATCAAGCATTAAAAAGTTAAATCCGATCAAAATCGGCTGACAATCAGTTTGCGGTCGTATAACGGAGAAGCACCAGAATTTATTTAATAAACTAATTAATTTTAAAAAACAAAAATAATATTACTTCATTTTTGTTTGTTCTATAATGTGTAATTATATCATTACTAGAGCCTGAATCAACATTCTCAACTTTAAATAATATTTCATTTAATAATATTTCTTTAGATTTTTCTTTAAAATTTTCATTTATTTCTTCATTTTGTTTTTCTAAACTTTCAAATAAAATCATTCTCCAAGATGATTCTAACCATTTTAAATTAGCTAATTCATAGAAAATACTTTAAAAATTTAGTTAAATTATTTAAAAAAATAATTAATTATTTTACCTAAACAATTTAAATTGTTTTGTAATTATTAATGTTAAACAAAAACAATCATAAGTATAATTTAATTGATTTTTTGAAGTTAAAATTTTAATTAAAAATTCATTTTCGCCAACATCAAAATTTTGTATATTTAAATATTTAAAAATTCCCCAAATATTTAATTGATCTAGAATTGCATAAACATCCTTTAAATTCAATTTTAATATTTTAAAATGTTTCTTTACAAATTCAATTTTAATTTCTAAATTAATCTAAAATAAATTTAAAGATTATATTTAATTTAAAAATATTACAAAATACCTGATTATCAAATGGAGGGAGAGAAATTGAAACAGGATATATTAATAAATAATTTAATTTAAATAATTTTTCAAATCTTAAAATATTCGTAAATAATTTTCAATTGTTTATTTATTATTTATTGTATTACCTCAACATATCAACCAAATGAATTTTAAGAAATTTCGAGAAACAAAACAAATTTCCGCAGTTAATTAAAGCATTATAAAAATTAATTAAAAATTGTTGATTTTCATTTTTTAAAATATTTAATAAAGAATTGGTTAATCTTTCATCTGATCCAACGCATTTATTGAAAATTTCAAAATTGTTGCTTTCATTAATTAAATATTCCAAAATTGAAGAAATATTTGGTAGTATTTCTTTAATAATTTCTGTTGATTCTTCTTCTATATAATTTTTCAATATTGTTGTTGACATTTAATAAATATTTTTTAAATTTAAAAAAACTAAATTTGTATGTATTTAAACCTTTTAATTATATTTTAACAGTCAAAATAATTAAACTTTTCTCTCAAATTTATTAAATCACTTTATCTCACTAGATGACAAAAAATAATCAGAGCTTTTTATTAAATGTATATGTGAATAAAAATTTTTTTAAAAATTTGAATTATTAATTTTTCGAAATATAAGAGTAGAAAACAATGTGGATATATACATATAGATGGATATATGTAACTGGCAAACAATCATTGCGCCGCGTCGCTTCAAGGTCAAATAACGAGAAATATTACTTTAAAATAGGAGAACAATAATTATTTAGAATATACTTGTATTTATTTTCTATTGAAAATTCAATTTGCCATTGAAAGAGAAATTTGGGGATTTAATAAGGATTAGTTGGTTATTCTTTTTGAATTTTATATTTTATTGTTTCTAATTCATTTTATTAAAATTAAAATTGTTAAAGAACTCTCACAAAATTTAATTTTATATTTTTACTTAAATTTAATTTATTTTTAAATTATTTTTTGGTAAATGTTTAAACAAAGTCCATTTATGTCTTAAAATTATTTTAATTTAATTTTCGATTTTTTTTTAATTTTTCGAGTATTAAGTCTGTTAAATTGAACCTAAAATACCTGCATTCCTTCGACATTTTATACAATTTAAAATTTATTTAAGCAAATTCTTTAAGCTCGTTTTATGTACAGTTTTGCAAATAACCTCCAACAACTTTTTATTTACAAATAAGAATATTTTTTTAAATATTTTTTCCTTTTTATTACTCCCTCATTCTAAATAATGATTATATGTTTTTATTCAGTTTTTTAAATAAAAATAATAATTAATATTTTATTTATTTCCCTTAAGGATTTTTAATGAAAAGAGAAAATAATCAACTAATTAATTAAAAATAAATATGTATACTTAACATTTGAAAGGATATATAAATGAATAGGGGGTGCTAATTATTAATGAATGAGAAAATGTATTCATATACATACCAATAATGCCAACAAAAAATCTTTAAGTATAAACATAAAATGGCATTTGTCAATAATTAATAGATTTTTGTTTTAACTACTATGTACATTTTCCACACATCTTTTTTCCTTTTTTCTCATTATTTCGTGAAATATTGAAGTTATTATTATTTTAAAAATGAAAAGAAATTTACATGTTTAAATTTTATTTTAAATTTATTAAATTTAACATTAAAATAAATATATTTGTCTATTACTTATAGCAACTATTTAAAAACTTTTAATTTTTATCATCCAATTTGGCAAAAAATTGCTTATCGTTAATAAACTTTTAATATTTTCCTCTTTCTTTTCTTAACTAATTTTCCATTTTTTAAATAGATAGCAATCCCCATTTGTTGTCTATCTTATTATATAATTGAGAAGGGTGTGTCTGTTTGTCCTTTTATAGACAAGTGGGCTTTTATAGTAAAATGATTTGGGGGAGTGAGGAAAAGGGGGGTTTTATACTAAAGCGTTGCCAGTTGAATTAGGTTGTGAGGGTAAGATTATAGTATAAAAGCAGGGTTTTTGGTCAGTCTTAACTGATACCAAAACCTTCTCAACTTTGCTGTGCTCTGTTCTACGTTTGCTGGAGTCCTGTGTCCTCTTGAGTTAGGCGTCAACGTTCATTTATCAAGTGCTATCTGTCAACGTCACTTGAAGTGCCAGGCGTCAACGTTCATGTGTCAAGTGCTAGACGTCAACGGTCATTTGTGTTAGGGTGTCGAGTTTAGTATAAAAGGCGAAGCCTTTTAGTAGTCTGGGAGTGTGTCCGGGTTAGTCTGGAGTAGACGTCAAGCTAGACGTCAACGTTCATTAGAAGTGCTAAGCGTCAGCGTTCATGTGTCAAGTGCTAGACGTCACTTTTATTAGAAGTGAGCGTCAACGTTTATGTGTCAAGTGCTAGGCGTAAAATTTCAGGCGAATATTGAAACGGGGAATTATGAAGCAGGGGGGAATTGTGAAACAGACGGAATATTGAAACAGTGGGAATAGTGAAGCAGGCGGAATATTCAAACAAGGGGTATTGTGAAGCAGGCGGAATATTTAAGCAGGGAAATTGTGAAGCAGGCGGAATATTGAAACAGGTGGAACTGTGAAGCAGGGGGATATTGAAACAGGTGGAATTGTGAAGCAGGCGGAATATTCAAACAAGGGGTATTGTGAAGCAGGCGGAATATTTAAGCAGGGAAATTGTGAAGCAGGCGGAATATTGAAACAGGTGGAATTGTGAAGCAGGAGGAATATTGAAACAGATGGAATTGTGAAGCAGGAGGAATATTGAAACGGGGAATTATGAAGCAGGCGGAATATTGAAGAGGGGGGAATTGTGAAACAGACGGAATATTGAAACAGTGGGAATAGTGAAGCAGGCGGAATATTCAAACAAGTGGTATTGTGAAGCAGGCGGAATATTTAAGCAGGGAAATTGTGAAGCAGGCGGGATATTGAAACAGGTGGAACTGTGAAGCAGGAGGAATATTGAAACAGGTGGAACTGTGAAGCAGGCGGAATATTCAAACAAGGGGTATTGTGAAGCAGGCGGAATATTTAAGCAGGGAAATTGTGAAGCAGGCGGAATATTGAAACAGGTGGAACTGTGAAGCAGGGGGATATTGAAACAGGTGGAATTGTGAAGCAGGAGGAATATTGAAACGGGGAATTATGAAGCAGGGGGGAATTGTGAAACAGACGGAATATTGAAACAGTGGGAATAGTGAAGCAGGCGGAATATTCAAACAAGGGGTATTGTGAAGCAGGCGGAATATTTAAGCAGGGAAATTGTGAAGCAGGCGGAATATTGAAACAGGTGGAACTGTGAAGCAGGGGGATATTGAAACAGGTGGAATTGTGAAGCAGGCGGAATATTCAAACAAGGGGTATTGTGAAGCAGGCGGAATATTTAAGCAGGGAAATTGTGAAGCAGGCGGAATATTGAAACAGGTGGAATTGTGAAGCAGGCGGAATATTGAAACAGATGGAATTGTGAAGCAGGAGGAATATTGAAACGGGGAATTATGAAGCAGGCGGAATATTGAAGAGGGGGGAATTGTGAAACAGACGGAATATTGAAACAGTGGGAATAGTGAAGCAGGCGGAATATTCAAACAAGTGGTATTGTGAAGCAGGCGGAATATTTAAGCAGGGAAATTGTGAAGCAGGCGGGATATTGAAACAGGTGGAACTGTGAAGCAGGAGGAATATTGAAACAGGTGGAATTGTGAAGCAGGCGGAATATTGAAACAGGTGGAATTGTGAAGCAGGAGGAATATTGAAACAGGTGGAATTGTGAAGCAGACGGTATTGTGAGGCAAGGGGAATTGTGAAGCAGGCGGAATATTGAAACAGGGGGGATTTTGAAGCAAGCGGAATATTGGAAACAAGGTGAATTGTGAAGCAGGCGGAATTGTGAGGAGAAAAAATGGGTAAGCGAAATGGGCCGGCCGAAGGCTTTGGATCGGATCTTGAGTTGAATGGTTTTGTTATGCTAGCGGAGTCACACGAGCGCCTGTGTGTATCCTATCAAGTTACCTATTAGATACTTTGTTTTGTTAAATGTTTTGGTAATCAGAAAATGTTTTAATGCTGGTCAATGTTTTGATAATGGGTTTTTCTGATTATGATTGGATTAGGGCCAATTTTGAGGTTGTGATAAGTTGATTTGGAGTTTGTTTTTTGTTTGTTTTGTTTTTGCTAGCGGGGTGGGGCGGCCGAAGGCCGACCAACTCCGCTAGTATCTAAATATTTTAAAAGAAATCCATTGTTTTAAATAAGAAAAAATTCTTTTTGTTCAAAAATAATTATCTAGCAGAAAAAACTTTTAAAAGATGTTCAATTTTTAAATCAATAATTTTTTTATTTGATTTTTTAAAATTATTTTTTAAATAATTTTTCTTTTTGGATAAATTTTAAAAATAAATTAACGTTAGATACTCTTCTTTTTCGAAGTTTATAATAAGTTAAACATGATAAATTGAGGATTTCAAAACATGGGTAAATTATACATAGGTATTTATTTTTTAATTGTAATTTTTCTAAAATAAAATATTTTTAAATAGAAGCTTAAATTTTTATTAAACTATATTTATTTCTAATCTTATTTAATGACAACATACTACATATTTTAATATATATTTTATTTCGTCTTAAAGTTTTCTTGTTAATAATTTTTACTAAAAACTTTAACGGAATTAATCTTTAATTTTTTAAAATTTAATTGCTTATATTCTTTATTTTAAGATTTTTTAATTAAAATTTATTTAATGAAATTCAAAATCATTTCTTTAAAATAATATATTAATTCTCTCTACATACAATTTAAAATGTCTGCCTCTTTTTTAGTAGTTGGAGGTGGAAATAGTTTTGCAACAACAAGTCACCAAAATAATGGTTTAACAGTTTGTACTTCTTTTTTAAATTGTAATTCCCAAACTTGGATTGTTATTTTGCCAATATGTTTGGCTATAACTTTTTTTTGTTGGCTATTTTTTCAAGTTTTTTTATTCAAAATAATTTAAAAAAAAATATTTTTTTTAATTTAAAGAAAGGTTATTTAGCTGTTGCTTTAGTATTTTCTCAATTACTGGTTATTATAATTCTTGGAATTTTAACATATTTAATTTTAATTTTTATAAAAAAATGTTGGAGAAGATTAAAATTAATTTTATTTTCAAATTCAAAAAGCAAGGATGAATTAATAGATGAATCAACAAAAAATCAAGAAAATAATCTCAATCAAGCGCCTTCTGAAATTTAATTTTTTTTATTTATAATAATTTTTGTAAATATATTTTATGAAATAAATATTTTTATTTTCAAATTATAAATAAATTAATTTAAAATAATTTACAAAAAAATTCTCTAATTTTTTTAAAGAAATCCACTGGTCAGTCAACACAAAAAATAAAAAAATACATTTAATATATCAATTTTTAAAAAAATAAAGAATTTTTATTTCAATTTTATTATTTAAATAAAAATAATAAATTCATCACACAATACAAAAAAAACTAACTAAAAATATCCTTTCATATCCAACAATGTCATCAAATAAAAGCTATTGTTTGTCCCTTTTGTTATCTAATTTCTTTTCAATTTTAGATAAATAAATTTTGTTTTTTTTCGTAAAATGATAACAAAAATAATATCCAAAATTCTTTTTGTTTAATTTCCCAAAAATTTCCAAATTTTCTCATTTTTATCTGTATAAAAGCTTCTCAAATCTCATTTAAATTTAAATTCCTTTTTCATTTACTAATTTAAATTTTTATAAAATGATGAAAACAAAAATTGTTTTTTTAATTTTAATTTTTTTGATTTTAATAAATTTTGGAAGTACTCGTTCACCTCCATTACAAAAGGATGTTTTCGGATTACAGCAACAATTTGGTAAATATTTACTTGTTAAAAATATATACAAACATTTAAATATAAAAATTTAAAATTTGATTGACAGAAAAAAATCCACTTCAACAACCAAAAACTAAGGACGAAAATAGTAAAGATTCTGCTCATCCGTTAGACTGTAAATGTGATGCTTGCAAAGAAGCTGCGGCAAAAAATAATTGTAAAATATTTAAATTTAGTAATTTAATATACATATTTTTTTATTTATTTTAGCACAACGAAAGAATTAAAAGTTGAATTAAAAGAATAATGTGTTTATGGTATTTCTGTGATTACCTATTTTAATTTTTATGTAATTATTTTCTTTGGTATTTTTAAGGCCAATAATTTTATCTGATCAATAAATTTTAAAATTTGTAAATTTTTATTAATGTTTAAAAGCTCGTTATCAAAATAAAAAATTAATTTTTAAATTTACTTCCCTTATTTTGACTTGTGCAAAAGTATGGAAACACTTTATTCTTATTTTGAAATAAAAATAGGAAAAATTTATAGAAATTCAAGCAAACATTTCTTATTTAATAAGGAAAAACTCAAAAGAGTTAGGCACATATTTTCTTTCGGTGTTGTGATCTTGATACGATGAAAATAAACGTAAAGCAGAGTTTCTCAAATTAAAAAAATATTTTCAACCCCTTATGGATTATTTTAATTTTTAAAATCTTCACTCGTGAGATAAATTCCTTTAAGAGAAAATTTGTTTAAAATTTTTTTACAAATTATATATATTTAAATTTAAAAATTATTCATTCATTAAATAAATATTTAATGTATTTTTTCAAATTTTTTTCTTTCAAATACATTCCCTTTACTAACATCCACTTCCTTAAAAAATTTTTGAAAAATTATAATTAAAAAATAAAAATTTTATTAAGAGATTTTCTTTTCTAAATCTATTTCAAGTTTTTAAATAAACAAAATTTAAATTTAATTAAATAATTATTTTTATTTTAAATTCTCTTACCGAAACAATAATTGTTTTATTTGAAGGTCCATATTTGAAACTTAAAGGAAATTTTTTGATTGTCACAGGCAAATTAATATTTATTTCCTAATAATAAATATTTAAAATATTTAAAATATTTATTTCAAACCTTATTATCATTATTTGCAAAAATATTATTTAAAATTAAAAAATTCACAAAAATAATAATAAAATAAAAATTATTTTTCATTTAAAGATGAAATTAAATTTTACTTTTTTTAAATAATAATTTTAAATTTAGGTAGTTACTATTTTTGTTAAACTTTTAATTATTACAACAAACATTCTTTACTTTGATTAACTTTTTTATATTTATTTATTGTTTAATATTTTATTGAAAATAAAATAATACAAAATATTAATGTATAAAATTTTTGTGATTTTTTAAAATATTAAAACAATTAAATTATTTATTAGGTTTCTTTAATAAATATAAAATATTTATAGTTTCTTTTTACCGTATTTAAAATCTGATCTCGTTATTAATGACCCATTTTCAAAAGAAAACATATTTTATGAAAACTTTGAGGATATGCAATAAATTTGTATTAAAAAATAAATGATGAGTGTTTTTAAATTTTGTAGAGATCGGTCATTGTATATAAAAATAATAATCGTTTAATCGGCAATCCTTTCATTTTATGTAAAAATCCAAAAAAAAATAAATAAATAAATAAAATTTAATTTAAATTATTTTATATTTTATAATGTCAATAAATTATCAACTTTTAAAAATTCTTTTAAATTTTCGTCAAAATGATTTGGTATATTTATTTTTACAAAAATTTAAGAAAATATATAATTTATATATTTTTAAATAATTTATCTGAAAAAAAAAGATATTTTTACTTCATTATTTACAAAGATTTGTTACTTAGCAACTGTTAATAATTTTTTTAATATTTAAAATTACAAAAAATAACAAATTATATACATACATATTTATGTTCATATTATTTTTAAAATTTTCGGCATCTCCGGGGTTTTTTTCGACCCCCTCTGATACATACATTTTCCTAAATATTTACGTTCAAATCAATATATGTAGGTAAATAAAAACATTAAATGACAGTCTACACGTTCACAGTCAGCCGAAAATCATTTGCTCATGCATTGTAAAAGTCTCTCCCTTTTTAAATAAATTTATTTATTTATTGTAAATCGATTTGTTCTAATGAAAAATTCTTCTAATACCAGATATTTTTTTATAATTTAATTTAAACATAAAACTTTAAAAATAAATAAAGATCTTTATTTAAAACATTTAAAATTAGTAGCCTCTTCACATTAAATTATAACACTTGAGAATATTTTAATTATTGTTTAAATAATCATTATAATTTAAATTTAAATAATTTTTTACATTTTTGTTTACAGACTTCTTTTACGGAAATACATTTTCGTCTTTATGCCGATGCTAAACAAAACGGAGATTATGGACCGTGTATTGCCCATTATTATTCAATTATGTCTAAAGTAATTTTTTAATTTTTATAAAATTTTTAATAAATTTAATAGCTTATTGAGAAATATTTTTGTAAAAGTTTTCATTTTGTACCTCCATTACCTTCACAAAATCAACAAACATTTAATTTATTTGAAACAAATAATTTTATAAAAACAACAAAATATAGTGGGAATTCAATATCAAATTCTTTAAAAGAATTACATTTATTAATTGGTGAATGGTTGGTATTATATGTACATATATTTTTAAATAAAAATAAATTTTAATAAAAATCACCCTTTCTTATATTAAAATAATTAGATGGGGGGAGTATTGTGTAAATGTTAACAAAAATAGTCAAAGTCCTTTTAAGTTTTTTTCAAAAAAAATATTAATTTTATTTAAGTCTTCAATTAAATAATAAAACAAAATGCTTAGACATTGGTTGTGGAATTGGAAATGTAATTGAACATTTGGCTTTTACAGGAGCTCAATTTGTTGGTTTAACAATTTCTCCCGATGAGGCATATTTTTTAATTAAAAAATAAAATTAATTTAATTTTAGGTGGATATTGGAAATAAAATATTTAAAAAATTAGGAATTGACAAAAAATGTCAACTTTTGCAAGCAAATTGTTCTAAAAGTAAAGATAAATCATAAAATTAAATTCAAAAATTCAACTTTTTTCCAGATATTCCATTATCTAAAAATAGTCAAGATGCTGCTTATGCAATATATTCACTTAAATATTTACCTAAACTTGAAATAATATTTTCAGAACTTAATAGAGTATTGAAACCTGAAGGGCTTTTATTGGTATATGATTTATTGAAAACTGATAAATATAATGAAGATAATGTTGAGCATCGGTTGGTGTTTTTGGAGGATATTTAATATTTAAATAGGGAGGGAGGAGGGACCTTTTCTATATTTTACAGCTACAGGGTAACCAAAAAGTAACCGGGTATTTTTGGCATAACTTTATTCATATTTAAGATAATGAGATCAAATAAAGATTAAATGATAAACTAAATAAGGAACAAAAACAATCAGAAATTTTGAAGTTTCCACACTTTGTCTGGTTTCACAAAAGTATATAGGCTCACATTTTTAGCATTTTCACTCAAATTACCTCCATAAAAGTTATTAATTTTTATCAAATTTTATTTAAAGAAAATTACTTTCTGAACTTGAAATGTCTTGTGGAATGCCCCCTTTACATTCTCGTAATGAAATAATAAAAGAAGCTAATAATGCTAATTTTGTTTTGATTAAAGCTATTGATTTAGTAAAGATAATATTTAATATATAAATTATATAAATAATTACTTTTAGGACAAGAAAGTAGGCAAACCATTTTATTATTGTTTTAGTCATTCAAAAATATTTATGTGGATGATTAGGTAAATTAAAAGAAATTTATAGTTTATTTTTATTTATTTATTTAGATCATCATTAATTGAACAATTAATTAATTTAGCACAATTTTTACATGTTTTACCTTCAGGCTTTAATAATTTTTATAAAATTTTCCTTTCCGGAACAATTGATAAAATTGTAAGAGCTGGTAAACTTGGAATACTTTCTGGTGGCGAAATATTATTATTTCAAAAAATAAATAAAAATTAATTGTTAAATTAAATATAATATTATTTATTTAATTTTAAAAACGTCAATTTATTTTGAATTATTTATTTGATGCGCAATTATAAAAATCTGTAGTTAACGAGATTATTAGATAACTCAGTTATTCTTTACTTAAATTTTAACTAATTTTTTGTCTAAAAACAATTATTGTGATTGTGAAATTATTTATATATTTTTAATTTAAATTTCTCCTGTTCTACATATTTAATTAATTTTTACGTTTGTTTAATAAATTAATTTTTGATTATTAATATGTACATATATTTTGTTTTATTCAATTAATTTTTTAATTTGTAAAAAAAATTTTAACTAAATTATTTAAAAAAAGAATTAATTAAATGGTAACTTCGACAGAAAATCCAAGTGAAGAAGAAGAAATATGTACTAATTCTTTCAAGAGTAAACAACAAAAACAAAATAATCAAAAAAGAATAGGAATTATTGGATTTGGACGTTTAGGTAGGTGTTGTTTATATTTTAATTTTCTGAAAGTAATGAATTAAATTAATGAATATTATGAATAAATTGTATTGTTAAATATTCAAATTATAGTTTTAAAATTAAAAAAATTTTATTTAAAGGTCAATTCCTTAAAATAGAATTAAGTAAATCACCAGAATTTTTATTACAAAAAATTTGGAATAGAACTGAGGATTCTAATGAAGGTGTTTTACCTTTGAGTGAATTAAATGAAGAAAACTTGAAAGACATTGATTTAATTATTGAGGTGTTAAAAATAATTAATTTACAATTTTAATCCTTAAATTTATATTTAAAGGTTTCACATCCTGATATTATTCACAATTATGCAAACACAATTCTTAAACACGCCGATCTTTTTGTTAAGTTTATTCTTTTAGTATTGAAGAAATAATATGTTAAAAAACATTTAGTAATTATATAATTAATATAGATAGGTTCTGTAACTGCTTTAGCTGTTGAAAAAACCTACAATGAGATTAAGGCAGGTAATGTACATATATATTTATTTTCAAAGTCCCCAATTTTTGCTTTAATGTAAACAAAATTTTAAATTATATACATACTATGTATATGTTATTTTCGGGATTGTAAGAGATTTAATGACAAGAATAACACTTTATCCAAAGTAGAAGGTGCTAACCTGTATCAGTCTGAGGAGTTATGGACTAGATGAGCTATTCCCCAGGCGTCTATATTACTTATTCTGACTGCTCATATATTAACACGACCACACTAAAACATATAAATTTTAAAGCAACTCGACGACAAGAAGATAATCATTCTGTATTTATACCTTCTGGAGCACTTTGGGGATCCAGAGATATTCAAAAAATGGCTGATTTTGGTGTTTTAAAAGTAAAATTAATTTAATTTGCAAGATATTAATATAATAAAAAATGTGTCAAAAAATATTTTACTTAGATGTAGTTAATAGAAACCGACCGAGAGCGTTGGTCGGTATCTAAATATCGACACTGAATATCGTGAAAAATTAAACCGGGCCCGTTATTTAAATTTAGTCTATTAATTATAAATGTACATATTTGTCAGACTCTCTCAATAACAACAATGCTACACCCAAATGCACTACAATTGGCAGAATTGAGTAATGATTCGTCATCTGAACTAAAAGTCTTGCATTCATTTTGTGAAGAATGCAAAAAAACTAATAGCCCTAAAGTTCTTTATGATGGCAAGTTATAAGAAGGAATAAATTATATAAAAAATATAATTTTAAAGGCACAGTTCGACAACTTTGTCTATTGGCGCCAAATAACGTGTGAGGACGAAGTTGATGGCAATTTTAATAAGTACATATATATTATTTAAGCAATTCTATGGCAAGTGCATCAATTGCAGCACATACCCTTGGGTTAGATCATACTCGGGCAAAACTAATCGTTGACCCAGAGTAAGTCTTTATTTCTAAATAGATGTTATAATCAGTTTTCATTAAACATATTAAAGTATACTTTGAAATTAAACAGATTGAGAAACTGGCAAATAATCGAATATGAAGCAACAGGTGAAAATGGATTTAGAACATTACTACGACGAGAGAATCCTTCCCAACCGAGCATAGGTGAAACTACAGGCGAAACAACCTACTTCTCTTTTCTATCGAGTGTTAAGGGTTTTTAGATTTTATTTTTTGGAAATATACATTTTAAGAAACACTTCAACTGCCGCGAGAACTCAATATTTGTTAGTGCGTGAAGCTTGGATGTTCAAAAGCCCTTTAAAAATAATATGAAGGAAAAGATTAATCCTGTTAAAGTACATATAAAATTCTCCCATTATATAGAACTAATAAAGTATAACATAATTATTCTTCTAAAATAATCAAAAAAGATCATCTTGGGACAAAATATGACAAATTAAAAGCTTAAAATGACAAAATTAAAACAATATGCAAAAAGATCTATAAGTTTTTTTAAGTGTTACACATCATTCTATTTAATTAAAATAAAATTTAAACGAAGCAAAGAAATTTTTGTATTCATCAGCATTCTACAGCACGTACTTTCCTCAACATAATTCTCATGCAGGCCAATGCATCTTCTTTACTGTCGTGCCCACCTTCTATAATTTGAAAAGAATACAAAAATAAAATATAAAATTTTCACCTTCCTCTTGAATGATTATTTGAAGAATTTCAGAAGCTAATGTTTTAAGTGCTCTCTTTTGCGGAGGGCCAAGTCGATGAGGAAAAACAATGCTGAAATAGAAACAATTGCATAAAATAAAAATATTTTTCGTATCTTCCACCTACCTAGTATCCACAACACGAGTATGTACAAGGCGTAATGCACGCAAATCACTTTCAAGTGAATGCCCTATTAAAATTGTTTCAGAGTTGATCAATTCAAATAAGCGTTCGCGTGCCTTTAATTAATAAATAATAAATTTCTTAGACAGATTATTTACTTTATCCAAATTGCATTCGGCATGGAGAATTTGATCGGCATTCAATCCACTAAATCTAGTATTGCAGTCAATTAAAGTATTTTCTGGCCGAACAAATACATCCATAACTAATTCTCCAAGAACATCTACAACAGAAACACTGAAAATTAATGTTGAGAATCCAATGAACTCTATTTAACTTGCCGAGCGACTTCTGGTCCCCAATTTGAATAAACCATTTCACAATCCATTGCATAAACCTAAATGCTCATTTTTTGTTAAATATTTTTAATCATTTATTACTTTTGTAGATCTAGGATCCCCTACTCCATAGGGTTTTGGTGTACTCACATATTGTTCCAAAGTACTAAGTCTCAAAGTTTGTGTTATATGCCTTCCAGCAACAACGCATCCACGAACATCTAAAGTAGATTGGCAGCAAGTATATCGAGCCTCAACAACACCTTGAACTGAACAAAGATTTTTTTAAATAAAATAAAGCTTACTCTTTTTCTTCCAAGCTCGTCCCCAGTGATAGATACATTCCTCAGAGGAAACATAATCTCCATTTGGCTTTAATTGATATTCAATTCCGCAGCGAGAGCAAACACGTTTTAAATCTAAATTGTATTAAAAAATCTATTATATATTAATAAAATATTCTACCATCATCAGATATGAACGACTTGCTGTGACCCTTAGATGAATCCAATTCAGATTGTCGGATTTCAACAATATTTCTAGGCCTTTCATCAGATGAATCCTAAAAATATTTAAAATTATAAAGATTTGAAATTTAGATACAAAATCGTCATCGATTTCTTGGGTTAATGTAGTCCATCTTGGATAGCCATTCTCCCAAAGCTGATCATCAGAAAGTATATATACTTCCAATTCGTTGTAGAAACTAAAAATTGAATGTTAATAATCTATTGAAAAATTAAATAATTTACTCAGATTCACTGAGATGCGAAGCTTTATGTTGAGCAACACGCTTTGCCTTTTGCAATCCAACTGTAACTGAATCAGCATGACGACCTAATAAAACATTTTGATGAGAGATGGAATCTATAAAATTATTTTTTAATTAAAGAATTTTAGTTCTAAAAACCTGAGCCTTTTCGTGCATTCTCATTATTAGCAACAAAGTTTCGCAATCGTTTAACAACATTTGGTATTGCGGATATATATCCAATTTTAGTAGAACAACGATCAAGAACTTCTTTTTCTTCATGCTGTGCCTTAAAAATAAAAATATTTTAATTTATATAAGTTTAATAAAAATAACACTCTCAATAGCCATTTTTGGATCATTCACACAAATTTTTACATATTCTGCATGAATTATTTTAAGTTTTGTCTGGCGAAGTTGGAGTGCAACCTTTCGATTATTTGGATCTAAAGGAACGAGCTTTTGTTGTTCAGTTTTTGATGGGATACTCTGAAAATGATTTTAAAAATTTAGATATTAATAATTTACCAAATGTGCCTTCCTTTGCTCTCCTTTTTTTAAAGTAGATGGAAAAGTCTGCTTTGAAGCTGGGAGACTAGAGTTGAGATTCGATGAAACAGTTAATGGAATTGACGATTGGCAAGTATTCTGGAAACTATTATTAAAATGAGTGGTGTTACTAGAAGATGATTGCTAAATTAAAAAATTTTTTTTAATGATTCAATTAGATTAACCAATTTTCGTTGAAAATTATTAGGTTTAGATGAGCTTTCTGTTGAAACATTTTTTCGAACTTCAGCAGATACCTTGTGGCCATGATCAGATGATTGGTTAATAGATAATAAAGTTCGTGAATGTAATTGTTCCTATTAAAATATTTTTTGACATTTTACATATAAAAAATTTACTTGAGCAGTTGGAGCAACTTTTTTAGAAACAAGCGCTTTTGATTTGGCCATATCTTGAGCCGGAGATGAAGATTTATGGGATGGTGAGGCTACAGGAGACGGAGTAGCAGGAACAACAGAAATAGAAGAAGATGAAGCAATAGAGACAGTCGGCGTTAAAAGTTTTGGCAGAGTAAGCAGATTTGAAGGAATTGCTTTATTTGATGAGATTGATATACTACTTGAAAAAAATAATCAAAAAAATTATGTATCTAATACTTGTTTCTTTCTTTAGATGTTGTTTTATCTTTGTCCACCTCTTTATCATTATCTTCTATTCTAGAGGAAAGCGGAATGATATCATCATCTGAAAGGAGATCCACCAAAGCTTGTTTCTCTTTTCGAGTTTCTTGATCCTAGAATACAAAGAAATTTATTTAGTTTATTCTTCGTTAAAAACCTCCTCATCTTCCTGTTTTGATTTCTTTTTATTTCTTTCACTACTGCTCGAAGTCCTTCGCCTCTTATGCACAAGGCTTATTCTAAAATTAGTTTAATAAAAATTATAAACTGACAGATTCGAAAAAGCAAAATCGAACAGATTTCGGAAATTATAATCATGTAAATATTTAACCAAACAAACTAGTAATTTTCTTTAAACGGACTAAATAAGTTAAAAAATCTAAACTTTCATGAGCTTAAATACTAAATTACCGGATTCTATATTAGTAAATATATTAAAAAACCTACGAATCAAGTTTAAGTTTCTTGTTATCACATTTATTCGACTTTGTTGTCGATCCCTATAAATTTAAAATAAACTTAAGAGAAATTAAATTTAATACCTCAACTGTTAAATCATCTCCCTCAAATAATGAATTAATTATTTCGTCGCTTGATTTTCTCGCATTGTTAAGTTTATTCTCCAATCTAATATCAGTTGGAGCATTGCTCTTCTGCTGTGAATAGATAGTTTTTAATAAGTAAAAAGTTTCCGAGAGCTTACCCTCCAAATTGGTACCCTCTTTTTTCCTTCATCATTCTTCTTTATATTTAAGGATTTATTATTGCAAAAAGATGAGGAAGATGGTTGTGATGTTTTACTGCCTGATTGACGGAGTTCCTCTTCCAAAGCGCCGATTGATTTATCAATATCAGAAATAATTTTTAGATTTCTAGAATATTAAAATTTAACGTTTTAAAAAGAATATTCAGTAAATTTTTTAAATTAAATTTAATTTAAACCTACTCATTTATTCCAAAATCGCATTTCTCTTTAGATTTGGATTTTCTTTTTTCACCATCCATAATTTTGTAAAACCCCAGCTTCTTACTCGCATTTCCAAATCCATTACTAGTACCAGCATCAGAATGTTGTTTTCTTTTCGTGGATAAAATATTTTCTATAACAGTATTCTCTTTTGTAGATTTTTCAGTCGAAGTTTGTGTCTTTGCCTAAATTATTTAAAAAAATTTAATTTAACAATCTTAACACCTTCCAATTTTCCAATTTCTTTTCATGTTCCTCCATAACTTCTTCAGCTCTCTTTTTTCCAAGCCAAACATCCTCATCTAATTTAGCATTGATTTCATCCTTTTCTTTGAGATCTTGATGTCTAAGGTTCTTTTCCTTTTCTTTAATTTTTGGAGGAACGCCAGCAAGTATTGGACCGCAACATGTATCCCCACTTTTTAATTTAATTCCCTTAATTCGAAAAATATCTTTAATTGTAGAAATTTTTTAGATTAATTTTAAACCTTTTTTTTCTTTTTCAACTCATCCTGTTTCTCTAGCCTTTCTTTATGTTTTTTCTTCTCAATTTCCATTTTAGCTAAGTCCTCGAGTTTCTGGTCCCGCTGATCTTTTAAAAAATTTTCTTGTGTAGCTAAAATTTGATCAATAGGATCACTAGCATCAACTGAAATAACTTTTTATACAAAATTAGCTAAATCGAAGTTCGTATTCTCACTCATTTTTCTTTGCTCAAAGTATTAAAAATGGTCAGACTTTTCTTTCTTTCTCAACCACAAAAAAGGAAGATAAAAGATCTGCTTCGTTAGCAGATGAGTACCTTCGAAGAAAGTACCGAATAAATAACAATTTTCGTAACAGCTATCCTGAATTTGCCTAATGATAGTTCGGCCCCACACTTAAATATAACAAGTTGTCTCTTCAACTCATACAAGTCAAGCAAAAAAGAAAAGTCTGACCATTTTTAATACTTTGGGGAAAGAAAAATGAGGAGGTATACGAACCTAAATTTTACCCAAAAATTAATTTAAAAAGCTTTATTACTTTTGCCCGCAATTTCCTTTTCATCATTCTTTTGGCTTGATCTCACAAGATCTTGCTGTTTAAGTCGGTCACGGATATTTTTCTGACGTTCAGCTAATTCTCTACGTTTTTTTCTCTCTTCCTCTTCACGTTCAAGCTGAACAATTGGTGTTGGTGTATATGACGGAGCTTTTATAATTTTAATAATTTACAAAATAAGTTACAGAGTTACCTGAAATAACTCGTTTATTCTTTCGATTTTTATCATGTGGCTTATGTGCAGAATCAATTCCTAAAAACGAGGAAAAAATTTTTCAATAATTACATATTCTTACCAGTGGACAATGTATTGGGGAGATTAGGAATTTTCGGTAGTAAGTTAGAAGTGCATTGATTTTCAGATCCTTGTATATGTTCCTAAAAATAAGCAAATTTAAATAGTAATATTAAAACTAACAGTAGCTGAACTGGCATAAACAGATGGTGAAGCAAGATTATTAGTCTCACAATCAGTAGAATTAGGTGCAACATAACCGAGATAGCCACAGGAATATTGATCTAAAAGCTCAATAAAAAAATGAGTCGTGAAAAAGAAATTCTGGCGTATAAAAATATTAGAGCGCATCACGTGCCTATGCAAAAATTATAAACAACAAACACTTTGCTTAAGAAACTATCCTCAAATATGTCTTGACAGCAGGGCTGCACGCAATTGCGGATTTTTAAAAAGAAACTGCGAGTTGAGGAATTTTTTCAGCTGCGTGCAGCCCTGCTTAATAGAAACACACCTACCTATAACAGGACTTTCTTTGTGAAGCATTGAAGTATCAAATACCACAGGTTGAGTTTCTACTGCATTGCTCACAGCATGAGATTCCGTTGAAGATGAGGGCCATGGTGATCGTATTGGAATAACCTTTTCATGTACAACAATTATGTCATCATCTTGAATTTCCTCTTTAACTTTGACCAAATGCTTTGAAGCTGAAGTGTAAAATTTTAAAAATAGAATAAATTCTAAATCGCCTACCAGAGAAAGGATGAAAGAAAGGACAGAAAGGCCTTTCACACACCGCCCCTTCATCATCAAAAGGACACCTTGAACGTGCAAATAGCCCGCCTCCTGGCCTAGAACGTATCATTGTTTCCTCACAAATTATTCAAAGTTCTCAACAAAAATTAGTAATGGAAATTTAGTCTAAAAATCAAAAACCTTAGTTATTTAAAATATAAACATGATTTTATGCAATCATTTTAAAAAGAAAAATAACAAATTCTTTATAAAAGATTACAATTAATAGATTAGTAAGATATAAAAAGTTGGCAAAATATAGAAAGGCTATTTGTGGTGTAAATTAAATTACAATTCATAGGCACGAACAAAGGTTTAACCAGGAGTCGGATTATAATAGTAGTATTAGAATAAACTTAATTAGAAATTTAAAAAAATTATATATGTAAAGAAATAATCTATCCAGTCTAACTAAACCATAAAATTTTATGTCAATCGTTCTATTTATTTAGGTAATCACGGTCGGCTGAGTACGTCCAGTGAACTGTTCCATTTTGCAAATGCCTAGTGCAACTAAAACCAAAGGTTTCAATAACTCCTGAGCAGGAAGTTGTAGTTGATAAATGTTGGAGGCTTCCACAAAGGATTCAACATACTAAATGTAAAATTTATTTTATAATTAATAAGAAAATAAACTAGACGGATGGTGGCACCCGAAGAACCAGTTCCACTTAGGCGAAATATTACACGTGAACCATCTTTGAAAAAAATTCGAAGCCCCTAAAAAATGAGATTAAATTCACTTGTTATAAAAGACCTGATTTTTAGCAATAGACCCATCAATCGGGTCCTTATATTCATAATTATCTCCTCCAATGACTTCAAATTCACGATCGTTTGCTTTCAACTTCATCCCAGTAAAGCCAGGTATAAGCGGTTCCAAATAGCTCATCATTAAATTTGCACCGGTCGCTTCAACATTTTCATAATCGTATCTAATCAAACTAATCATATTCCAAATTTCTAATAATACCTAGTATAAACATTTCTACCAAATTCCTTCCAATGTCCGACAACAATATCCTCGACAGACTGACGCTTCTCGGCAAGAATCTGTAACCAAGCCAAAAAAGCCCAAATTCCATCCTTCTCACTAAATATGATCAGAAAAATGTTATCATACTCATTCTTTCCCCAAGAAAGTTAAAGAAATTTCAGGCAAATAAACTTTTAAGAATTTAATCTAAAGTTACTAAAATTCATCTCCGAAATATGCAAAATCTTAAGATATGTGATAAAAAGGTCCCACTTTGATGAAAGGAGAAACAGTGGTTCAGCTTGAGAGCTTTCAAAAACTTTCAATTAAAATATAAACGAAAACAAACCGAATATGATCAGAACCAGTACCAAACGATTCCTCACCACAAAGTGACAATTTACCTGCGTCCATCAAGTTCCCAAAATATTTCCAGCCAGTGGGCACTTCATAACAGTCACGTCCTAACGATTTAGCCACCTTATCCACAGCACAAGCGGTTGGCATTGAACGCGCATACCCTTCCAGTTAAATTAAATACTCAAGATCGTGAAATTTCTCAGAAAAACCTTTAATGCCAGTCTTTTTAAAATAAGGAATACAATCCAAATTCGCAGCTATAATGGCCAGTGAGTCACTTGGAGTAACAAAGAAAGCTCCCTTCCCCAAAATCATATTACGATCCTAAATATAATTTAGACAAAATAATAAAGTAAAAAAACTCCATCGCCATCAAACGCAGCCCCGATATCGATTTTTCCCTCAGACATTTTATCAACAAGACATTTTGCATACGTAAGATTTGGATCGGGATGAGTTCCTTAAAAGATTATAGCAAATAATAATATACATGAATACCTCCAAAATCAGGTTTAGATACGGTACGCAAGCAACAGTTGGATTGAGCACCCAAACGATCGACAAAAATATTCGAAACATAAGGTCCAGTAACACCATGCATTGAGTCCACAATAATGCTGAATTTTCGGCCATCTCCAGATGTTTCACTAATGAATGAACGAATCTAAAAAAATAAAGGCTATTAATCTACATTCAAACCTTGGGAAAATCAAATATTTCCTCCATCAAATCGGCATAGTCTTTAACACTGTCAATGACTTGAATAGTAAACGGGCCCAAATCTTGAATATTTACTGTTGAAGTACCAATTTCTCCGAAATCGATATTTAACTCCGGACAAATATAATATTTGCTAATTTTTGTAGTTAATTCATAAATGCGTTCAGTAACCTGAAAGTACTTAATTATCCAAATTATAATTATTCTAGACATTATCAGGTGCAGGACCACCATTTTCGCAATTAAATTTGATACCGAAATCATTTTTTGGGCCTCCAGGATTATGACTAGCAGTCAATATGATACCACCTAAAAATTCTTATTAAATGCTAATCAATCAATAAAAACCATTTATTTGTCTTCCATCGTCTTTCTTTCTAATCAGATGAGAAACTGCAGGAGTACTCAGAATTCCGTCGCGACCAATGATTAATTTTGAAACCTAAAAGAAAATATGAAATTTAAATAATTGTAAGAAACCCCATTAGCTGCTGCAATTTTTATGATGATATTGACAGCTTGAGCACATAGAAAACGGCCATCACCGCCAACAACTAAAATAGAACCACGCTTATTTACACCAAGGCCACCATCAAGAACGCATTGAATGAAATTTTCGGTATAATGCTGCTGCTGAAACTCAGGAACCTGAGAAATAATTTAATCTTTATGTGTATCTATACCCAAAAGAAAAAACCTTTTTACGTAGACCACTTGTTCCTAAATTTTAAGTTCAATAAACATTTTAAAAGATAACAAACCAGGTTTTTGCCCTGCAAAAGGCTTTGATTCAACACTAATAATAGCAAATTTGTCGTTGGGATTATTAGACATTAGGATAATTTAAATATTTATCTTAAAGGCTAAAATGAATTCATACATATTAGATAATAACAAAGATCTGATTTGTAATTTTTTGAAGTACAGTACTTACAAATCGACCTCCGTACTTCCAAAACTGGCAACTTATTTGTGAGTACGTACAATGGACTTTTTGGTTAAAAATTAAATTAATCTTGAAATACTCAAAATTTTCGCCTGCGGCGCTAATTCAGAATCATTGAATTATTCTGAATCATTAAATCTTCATTTTGGAGCGCCTAACAAGTTAGAAAAACTTCGGCTCCGTATCTGGAGCCAACGGATCTAAAAGATTTACGTACCAGAAATTCGCGGATCGACAATTGATTCCGAAAAAAATCTTGAGTCCGGTACGGAATAATGGAAAAATTTTAATACTCAGGTGTCAGTTCTAAAAGTTTCGGTCCGCAAAAAACGGCTCCCATACAAAATACCGAATTCTTAAAATATGGAATCTCAAAATCGCGAATCGGCTAAAAAAGCTCAAAATATGGAATCTCAAAATATCGAATCTCAAAATATGGAATAGGCAAAAAAAGCTCAAAATATCGAAAAATATCGACAATGCGGCAAAGGCCAGTTGAGTCTGAACAAAGTTGTGACCAACTTCTTCGTAAAAAAATTTTAAAAATAAGAGAAAGTATTTTTCTAAGGTAAAAAAATGTGCTGATTACGAATCTCAGCTCGGATTTTGAAAAAGTCGAATCCCGGACCCGAACCGAATTTCGAATCCCGAACCGAATTTCGAGTTTCCGAATGATAGCTCATCTGAAAGAGCACGTCGAGCTGCATCGAATGATACCAAAATCAATGAAATCCGACCTGATTGGACTGAGTTACAGATCCCTGAATAATCAGAAAAAGACCTGCAGCGGCACTCAAACGGCCCTTTTCGTTTTTAAAAAATTCGACATTTTTAACTACTTTTTAGCCGATTCGGTATTTTGAGCTTTTTTGGCCGATTCGCGATTTTGAGATTCGATATTTTAAGATTCCATATTTTGAGCTTTTTTGGCCGATTCCATATTTTGAGATATTTTTACCGATTCGCGATTTTGAGCTTTTTTAGCCTATTCGCGATTTTGAGAATTCGGTATTTTGTGCGGGCACGCAAAAAACAGGTCCGCAAATTTCGTGTCTGCAAAGTTCGCACTACGGAATAATCGATGACGTCTTGCGGCAGATATGCGTGTCCTTTCGAATTTTAGGCTAAAGTGCACTTTCCGAGGGGATTTTAGATTTGGACAATTTATATGTCAATCGAAAGAGCTCGGCGAGCTGAGTCGAATGACACCAAAATCAACGCAATCCGACTTGATTGAACAAAGTTATGATCGTTTGTTTTGCTACTCCATGGTCTCCGCGGAAAAAAGTTTTTACCACAAAAACAGTTTCTCCAGCGAAGATTCAGTTGGGCATAACTTTTTCAGAATCATGCAATCGAGCTGGTTTTGTTGTCATTCGACTCAGCTCGAGGAGCTCTTTCGAATGAGCTATCATTTCTCCATATTAGATGCCAAGTTTAAAATCCCCCCCCCCCCCCGGAAAGTGCACTCAGCCGAATTCTATAATAAATGAATTTCAGAGACCGCTTCGGCTTCTAGACAGTATCTTATTTGAAATATGGCCATAGTGGCGGATTTATCAATTGGAAGAGTTATTTCTGATTTTATTGTTCTACTTTGTTTAGGTTTAAACTTAGTTAACATTCTAATCTTAATATTTTTTATTGATTTAGCTGTTCCTCTTTTGATTTTTGAACTGTTGGGCGAGCCAAATAAACGTGGTTTCTATTGTGATGACGAATCAATTAGGTACCCATACAGAACTTCTACTGTTAGTCGTCAGTTGCTTATCGTTATTGGGCTTCTCATCCCTACTTGTCTGGTAATTTCTGTTCTGTTTTTATAAATATTTACAGGAATTTTACAGATTTTCTTGACAGAAATTCTCCGTACTTTGGTTTGGGAAAAACAATCTGTCCATCAATTATGTACTTTTAAATATAGAGCACATAATGTTCATAGGATGGTTGTTCGACTTTACGTTTTCATGGGTAATTTTTCTTTATGTTCCAAGTTTGGATTGTGACTTTTTTCACATGAAATTTTTTCGCTAAAACTAAAATAAGGAAAAAACATGTATATCACCTATTAATAAATGTTTTTAGGTTATTTTCTACTTGGTGTTTGTTTTAATCAACTAATGGTGGACATTGCAAAGGTTGAGAAATTAATAAACTATTTCTAATTATTTACAATTAGTACACAATCGGTCGCCAACGGCCGCACTTTATGGAAATTTGTTTGCCTATTACTGAGGTAAAACTTAATGGCATCGGTGGAGAAATTAGTAAAGTGTCCAAAGATTTTCGAACAAATTGTCCATCTGATGAGCATACGTAATTTTTTTTATCAATTTTCACTTTTTTGTTTCTATCTTTAGTTATATCACTGACTTCAAATGTAGTGGGAAAGAAGTCGATTTAATTAAAGAAGCACAACTATCTTTTTATTCAGGACATTCTGCCTTTTCATTTTATGCAGCCTGGTACACATCGGTAATAATTTGTACATTCCATTGTCATTTTAATAATATTTTTAGCTTTATTTGCAAGCTCGTTGTTATCGACCATTAGGTAGTCAACTAGTTCTCCCAGCTGTCCAGTTCTTTCTTTTTTGTGGCGCTTCTTTCGTTGCTTATAGCAGGGTATGTAGATGATATTTTGCTGTTATCTGCCACTACATTTTAACAGATTAGAATTATGAATAAAATTATTGAATTAAAATTCGAACGTTTGATAGCTCATTCGATGTTATATCGAGTGAAATGACATCAAAACTACTTGATTCGACGATGTTGAATAGTTAAAAACTTTGAGCTGCTACTGAGAGTAGCCCGGGCATAACCTTCGCTACACGATGGCTTATTTTGGTCATTCAGCTAATGTAAGCCCGGCTATCATTTGAATGATCTATAATCCATGCATAATACTATCTAGTTAGTAAAGTTGTGCAGATAACAGTAAAGTGGCATTTAAATATATTTTATTTTTAATATTGGTCTTTTCAGGTGAGTGATTACAAACATCACTGGTCAGATGTTCTTGTTGGTGTACTTATCGGTTCTGCGATTGGCATAATTAATGTAGTTTTAACAACAAATTTCTTATTTAACAAAACTTCTTTTAGGCTTTATTTATTGCTGAAGTTTTTCAACGCCGTGAAGTACCAGAAGAGTTTGTACATAAGAGACGACTTATTGGCAAATATGCATTCAGACAAAGTGATGTTGAATTGGGTAATATGATAGAGCAACGTCCAACCAACTTTAAATCTTCTGAAATGGTAAAGAATTTGTATTCTTTTTTTTAAATTTTTTTCAATTTTCTGCACGAACCGAAAATAAATTTATTAATGTTTATAGGACAAACAACTACCGCAGCGTATTCATAATGTACCAATTAGAGTTATTTCATCTAATGAAGGAAATGGGATATAAGTGTTTGAATCTTGCTTAATATTGACTTACATATTTTACAAGTTTTTATATGTATTGCTTGCCGTTTTATTTTACTCATTTTCATAAATCCTTTAAGCGCCTATTGCTTAATATTCAACTAAATTGAGTAATGGAAAAAAGTAACTTTATTTTTTACAATATTACCACATTCTGTTTTTTACTTGTCAACCATTTTACGAGGGGCTCCGATATGTGCGGATTTTTCCTTATTTTGTGGTTTTTTGATAGGATTATTTTTAAAAATGCGGATTTTTGTGGTCCTTTGAAGATTATGAAGATTTTCTATATTTTCTTTCAATTTTTAGAAATGTCATTTTTCTCTTATGGCCTTTGTTAAAAAATTCTTATCCTTCAAAATCTTCACCGTAAAATAATAATAAGAAAAATTTCTCGAATTTTTGGAAAAAATATTTTTTCCAAAAATTAAAAAAAATTTTTCGTTGGTAAGAAAATTTTGAAATTTTTTTCTAATTAATAAGAATTTTTGCAAAAATAACATTTTTATTAAACATTCAAATTAAGTTTCAAAATAGGTTTCAACAGGTAATGTTAACTCCTCATAAAACATAAGATTCAAAAATAACAACGAATTTGAGCTTCTCACACACCATAACTATTTCAGGAAACTATTCTCCGATCCCTAATCATTACTATATTTAAATGTCAGAGTGGATGTCGAATTTAATTAGCGGCATTATTGTCAAAGTGCAAATAATTTTATTAGAGCGGCAAAAAGGTTATATCCCTATTCTAATAGACTTGCCCTTTACTTCTCTTAAAATCGAATTTTAATTTACATTAATTTGTATAGGATATTAATTGATTTTTAATCAAGTGTCTATAATAGTTAAATTTCTCGCATATACATATTTAGCAAGCAGTGAAAATAATTTAAAAAAATTAAATTTTCAAAAATATAATTTAAATTTGAGCAATTAATATTAAAATTCTGACTCAATTTTAAGATGATATTATTTTTATGTAAAGAATTAGTGTTTATCTTATTGTTAGTATCTATTTTTATTCCATTAAAGACGAACGGAATGAATAAACAAAGAAGTTTTACTAATTGGGATAAAATAAAGTAAATTTATTCTTTCACATTTTTAAAAATAATAAGCTTGGGTGCCGGAAATTAGGTTTTCGGAAAGTTAGTCTCGGACTCTTTTTGGAATTTTGGTTACCCGCTAATTTGATTACCCACTTTTCGGAGTGGGCATTTCAAAAAATTTCAATATTTCGGAAGCAAAAATTTGCCTAAACTCTTGCCATATTCGAATTTCCGGATATCAGAAACTTTAGGAAGAGCTTATTTTGTGGTCAAAGAATCGTTGGTAATAAAGAGCCCCTTTCACACGAGGAATTCGAAGTTAATGCAGAAGGAGAAAGAATTATTAGAAGACAACCTAAATCTTTTAAATGTAAATGTGGGAGAGAATTTATCTGTGAAATGATACCCGTCCGTTTCTTTAATGGTGAAACTAATGAAGATTTTTTGGTATCTAAAATGCCGTTAGGAAATGGAGGTTTTGCTGTGGTAATAATTAGTATATAATTATTAAAAAAGATTATAGTTAAAATTTAAAAATTTTTATAATATATCCTAGATTCTTGGTTGATAACTATAAACGTTAAATAATTTAGAACAATTTCTATTTAAAAAAATTTTCAAAAGAGAAAAGTATCTTTTCAATTTCTCTTTTTATCATATCGTGACATACCCAAAGGCAAATTCATCTGTTTATTCTCAAATTAAAATTATGTTAAAAAATTAAAATTTTCACTACTATGGAAATATCTTCACATTTACACATATTTATTGAAGGTTTATCACGCAACATATACGCAAAATTGGAAATATTTGGGTGATTGCATTGCTTTAAAAATAGCCCATTCAATTAGTAGAAATCAACGGGATGAGGAAATTGCAAAGGAAGCACTTTTAAGGGAGGAAAAAATGTTGGAACTTATTTGGCAAAGCCAACCATTACCAGAAAGATTAATTAAATATTATGGAATGTACATATTTAATTTAAAATTTTGTAGAGAATATTTTTTAATTAAGGGTTGAATATTATGTTAATAATTTACCACAAAAAGCATTAAAGTTAGAACTTGGACATACAACTTTAAAATGTTTTTGGAAAGATCTTATGACAAATTCTAATGAATATAACGAGACATTGTTTTTAGAAATAATGAAACAAATTCTCGAAGGATTTGTAGAATTTCATAATACAGGTGTTTACTTGAATATATAATTTTGTTAAAATTAAATGTTTTTAGGTTATATCCTTATGGATTTCAATGCAAACAATATTTTAATTATGGAAGAATCTTCATCTAATACAATTTTAAATTTAAAATTAATAGATTTTGCAGAATCTGTTAAAGAAAATAACGAAATAAATCCACAACCTATTGAAATTCCAACCGTTTCATTACATATTGGACCTGAAATATACGATTCAAGAATATATGATTTTTATGTATGTTGCAATTATGTGATTAATTTACAAATTGTTTTAAATTAATCTTAATTGAAAGGATTTTTAGTACATATCCTCTAGAGATGTGCGAGACTCTTGGTCTTGGTCTTGGAACCAAGACTTTTCTTGGTTTTTTTTCGGTCTTGGTCTTGGTCTTGGTCTTGGGGTGTTTGTCTTGGTCTTGTCTTGGTTTTATTTTTTGGTCTTGGTTTTTTGGCCTTTTTGGACCTAGTGCTTGGCCATCCAAAATCCTCAAAATTTTCGCCTGCGGCGCAGAAAATGGAAGAAATCTGGCTTCTTGAGCTCCAAAATTCAAAAAATTTTCGCCTGCGGCGCTGAAAATGTGAATTTTTTTGGCCTACGGCCTTCCAAAATTTTCAAAATTTTTGCCTGCGGCGCAGGAAAAGGAAGATTTTTGGCTTCTTTGCTTTCATAATCCTAAAAATTTTCGCCTTAAACCAAAAATTTGACCTATGGGATTTAAAAATTTGGTCTTGATTTTTGGTCTTGAGTCTTGGAGTTTTGGTCTTGGTCTTGTGTCTTGGTCTTGGAAAAAATTTTGTCTTGTGTCTTGAGTCTTGAGTCTTGGAAAAATTTCGGTCTCGCACATCTCTAATATCCTCCCACATTTTTTCTTCATTGGGAATTTTCCTTCCTTCCTCAATTTCACTTTACATATTTATGCAAGTTAAATTAAGGTGAGTAAACAAACAGACATTTGGTCTTTTGCTATGGTTTGTCTAGATTTACTTACTTCGGCACCTTTCTTCAAAGATTTTTATGAAAATAATAAAATAGAAATAAATCGAGTTGTTTATGGCGATAATGATATTAATGAGGAAAGAAATGAGGGGGAAACACGAATTAGATTATTGAGGAGAATGGTTGAGATTAGTTATCTAGAGAATTCCCGACCCAAGGAAGAAAATGTTACTGAAAGTATTATTGTGAATTTAAATAATATTTTACTTGAAAGTTACCCAAAAGTTATGTCAATTCTTAAGGTATTTTTTAAAGTATTATTATTAAATTAAAATATTTAAGGAGTGTTTTTATAAAAATCAAAAATGGAGACCAGATTCAAAATATTTGCTAGATTTAACTAAAGCCAAGCTATATAATTATGAACCATTTTGGGTTAATGCTCATAAAAAGGAAAGAAAGAAATATTTATTAGAAAAAGGGGAATCTTCATCTACTACAATGATTAATTTTGGAAAAGAATAGATGCTCTAAAAGATATTTTAAAATTTTAAACTCGAGAATTTGGGACCTCCCCCTTCTCCCGTATAGCAAGTTTTCTTTGGTTGTTTTTAGTTTTATTTTTTTAAACAAAATTTTTTTTTGAAAATTTTTTAAAATTAAAAGGCAAATTTTTTTCAATTTTTGTTGATAATCAAAATTATATTAATTAAAAAATTTATAACCCGCCCCGACTTTTTTTCAACCCATCCTCTTCCAAGTACGAACTATTTTTTATACCCTCATCTGTCACAACTCATGTTTTTACATTTTTTTATTTTGGATAAACAAAATTATTAATTAAAATCACAGGTGTTTGTATGTTGTTGTTTTGGTTAGTAGGGTTACTATTACCTCCTCCTCCTATTACTGATTCTTTTTGCGAATTATTTTTCTTTAAAAAATTAATTAAACGACAAAATTCTTTTTTCATTTCTTTTTGATAATCAGAACTTTAAAACGAAAACAAAAAATTATTTTTTAATTAAATTTAATTTATTTCAACCTGCAAATATAAAGAACAGGAGCATTTAATGTTTGTGCTATTTTATTTAATTGAAGAGCTATTCGAATAAATAAATGTTGTGTATTTGGGGATAATTCTGTATTAGCTACAACAAAAAAGTTTATTATTGGTGTAGGCAGCCAACAAGTTAAGGAAATTGCCATTAAAACAATTAAAGATTTGTAAAGTTTTCGTTCTGTGTTATCATTCGATAATTTTATTACTAAAAAAAACTTTTTTTTTAATTAATTTTACAAAATACCATTAAATTTAATTAATAAACCAATAATTGTATAAATAAACAATACACCCAAATTACTTAATAAAATTATTGTACTCATTAATAAAACCATAGAAGAGTCGATAAAGTCTGTAGGCATACAAAATACTTGCCTATTTTAAAATTAATTATTTTAAAAATTAATTTCAAAATTTACTTATTAAAATTTTTTAAAGTAAAATTATGCATTTCAAATGGAAGATAAAGTAGAATAATAGCTGGTAAAAGAACAAGAAAAGTAATATAAATTTGTTTTTCATTTTTTGACATCATTTTATAACTAAAAAAATAAAAAAATATTTTAAGAAAAAATTTGTTTTTTAATCAAAGCTTTCTAAATTTCAACGATTATTCACATCCAAGTAGTCTGTGTCAAATAAATCCCCCAAAAAATTATTTTTGTACTTACCGAATTGGTAATAAAATACTAATTAAACGATCAATGCTAATTAGAAGAGAAATAATAGGTATTAAAGCCTGAGTATAAGGTCCATAAAATTCAGCATAAAAACAAATAATTAGTGGTATTTGAATGCGAGTAAGTGCCAAAAATGTTGGAAGAAAAAGGACACTGCATTGGGCAACACATTCAGTTAATGCTAATATTAATAAAAGAATTCCACAACATCCAACTTTTAATTTACTAAAAAAATTTTTTTAAAAGAAATATTTAGTTTTTTTAAATTTATTCTGAGATTACACACATGCATGTCGTCTTTTTTAATTTAAAACTTAAATGATAATCGTTAGATTTTTTGAAAATATCAAAGCTGATAATTACCCTCTTTTTTACCGTAATATTATAATTATTTAAAAACATACGGGCTTCTAAATATAGTTAGAGCAAGCAAACTATTACTTAATAATCCAACAGAACATAACAAACATTGGACAATTATTGTAATTAATTCAATAATTGAAATAGGATTGTCAGTAATTTCAGTTTCCATTAAAAATATTTATAAAAAATATTTTATACTAATTATTAAAAATTGTTCCCAAAAACATTTTGCATATAGGCAAAAATAAATAATATTATTTAAAAAAATTTTAATTTTTAAATTAATAAAAATAGGATTATTTAAGTGTTTAAATTAAAAAAATACATAGTTATTTTTGCAAGTTTTTAAAAAGGAAAATACAAAAATAAATTAATTAAAAATTAATTAGGAAATTAATTTTTTAGGTAATTTTAGCGAATATTTGTTTCAAAATTAATTTGTACCAAGGAAGAAAAAACATCTGTATAGCATTTCCAAATGAATTTTTAATTGAAAAGAAAGAAAATATTTAAAATTTATTTAAATTTTATATTTTTTAAATAATATTTAATTCAATTTTTTAAAGAATAAATTATTTAAAAATTAAATATTGGGTGTAGATTTATGTGTATTTTATAGAAAATTAAAATAGCTTTTAGAAGAATATTAAATTTAATTATTATTAAACATAATTATATGTATCAGAGTTGACAAAAAAATAATTACCAAACAATAGCTACTATAAATATCTATAATTAATTATTAGGTACTAATATAGGTATAAATTGTTTTAATTTTTAATGCTTTAGATTTAAATAATTTGTGAAATGTTTACGGAATAAAAAACATCAAAATAAAAAAATTAATTAATTAAACGTTTCTCTTTAAAAACGAATACTGAGAGAACAATAATGAAAACGATTAGCATCTACTAATTAAAAATTCCTCGAAAAATAGAAATCGTGTATAAAATCAGACCAAATTAAAATATTATAAAAGCTTTAAATTTATTCTGAAATTTTTTAATTAGAAAATCTGTTGTCTGTTTGCGTCCTCAACACATTGCCTCCATTTGCTCATTTTCTAAATGTCTTCCGGTATTGTCACTGCTACAGACGTGTACGATGACCCTACTCAATTGGACCCTCTGGACACGCGTAATGCTTTGGTAAGAAAAATTTAAAAATTTTTTTGAAAAAATCTTTATTTTATAGGAGAAAGGACATAAGGCCTTCATGGAGTTTCTCTACAAAAGTCAATATCCTTTGCTCCAGGAGGTGCTGACAGAGCTTGAGAAGAACACAGGAATTGAGCGCCATAAGGCAAATAATCGCTTAAAAACATTAATTGCCTTTTAATTTTTTAGTTGGCATATGGTCTTTTTGCGACAATTCCTCTCTATCTTCTTGTTGGTCAATATGCTGGTCTTATTTGCAATTTCATCACGTTTGTCTATCCGGCATTTGCAACTGTTGGAGCAGTTAGAAGCACCTCTCAGGCGCAAAGAGACGGTAAAAGATTTAAAACATATGGGAGATAGCTAAGTATATTTTAATTTCAGATGACATTCAGTGGTTGGTATATTGGACGGTCTATGGAATCTTCGCAATTCTCGACCACGTGCCATTTCGCATGGCTGAAAATGTTCAACTCTATTGGCTGTTCAAGGCGGTTGGTCTGTTCTACCTGTCACTCCCAGAAGTGAAAATTGCTGCAAAGATTTTCCTGTATAAGGTAAGAAGTATTTTAAATAAATTCAAAACAAAATATATTCTTTTTAAAGGTCGAGCCGTGGGTTGTAAAGGTCGAAAAATATTTTGAACGACCAAAGAAGGAGAAGGATGTTGTAAGCAAAGGAGGGAAGGAGAAGGAAGTTCCTAATAAGGGAGGGAAGGAAGTTGTCAGCAAGGGAGGGAAAGAGGTTGCCAGCAAAGGATCGAAGAGTAAGAATAAGTAAATAGAGAAAACATAATCCTTGTATAAACGTCATTGTTGTCCATTCATACAAACATATGTAAATATATATAAATTGCTTGTTGCTATAATTCTTATTGTTTAGCTTGTATTGTATTTCTTATTTCGTCAATAATGTAGTAAATATTTTTATATCGAGTTTGGATAATGTAATTTCTTAAAAATATTGTTCTAAATTCATGCATAATCCATTTAGTAAAAATATACTATCCAAATTAAAGGCCCCAATGAAGGGCAACTGACTCCGCAGGCCAATTCCAAATATTTGGACGGACAGAAAGGACCAAAGATTAGGAATACGTTGGCTGGCCCCATTTTGCCTTATCCAACAGTTGGACGAGGAAACCTGCGTCTTGACTATCTGGGGCCGTTGATCTTTTGGGTTAATCCCTTAATTGAAAAAATTAAAGTGTATAAAAAATATACTATCCAAATTATGTATTTAGAAAGAACAAAAATTTAACAAACTTAATTATTAAATTATAAAAATGTAAAAAGAAAAAAAAGAAAGATTGAGCAGAAATGGGTATAAATAATATTAAAAATATTTTTACAATTATTTTTAATATTTTCTAGAAGTTTGTAACAAATACATAAATAAAATGAAGAAATAATGACAAAATAAGTATACTGTTAATAATTTTGGAGTGAGATTGTGCAATTATGGCAGTGCATATAATTATATAAAATGAAAAATGTAAAAAAAGCAAACTAAAATTGTAAAAGAGCTCTATTAGGTATAAAATATTTAATGGGATTATAGAAAAGATTTTTGAAGGGAAAAATAATTAGAAAAATATTTTTAAAGTATATCCTAATATTAAAGTAAAAACAATTCTTGTTTAAAATTCTTAATTTAAAAAAAACTTTGTTATTTAAATATACTTTAAAAAACATAATAAAGTAATGGGAAATGGCAACAAAAATTCACAAAACAAAAAAATTTATATATTTAATTTTAATAAAAATATAAAATTGTTCCTTTTATCTGTTTGTTTTAATACAAACTTGGCAGCGAGAAATTCTTGAACGTGTAGAACCAGCCTTTACTGTTTGACTTTGTGGTATCTTTAAAAAAAAGAATTTTTTTTAAATTTTAAAATATAAAAATTAACAGTAAATTGTTGTGAATCATCAATTGTAGATAACCAAAAACTAAATTTGTTTGCAAAGAAATGACTGAAAAAATAAATTAAAAATGCATTTATTTTTATTAAAACCAAGATCCACGTGCACCATTACATTCAATGAAAGGAGTTGTTCTGAAATCTTCCAAACAAGAACCGGGCGAACTAAAAATAAATTAATTTAAAATAAATTCTCTTTCTTTTACCTCAAAGACTGTCCACCACCCTCAGCCCCAGCTCCAGTGTGCATTGCAAATGAATATCCAATCCAAAGTGAACTCCAGCCGTTTGGACAATTTGGAATTTGAATTGATTGAGAATGTATAGCCATAACCTAATAAATAAATATATTTTATAAATTCATAAAATTAAATATTCAAAACATTTGCAGGCGCTTCACAAACAGCACAACGAGAGATAAAAGGCTGAATTTCGTGTTCGTTAACAGGCATCATTGGGAGCTATAAAATTAATTTTATTTAAAAATTATTTTGTCTTAATTAACAGCTTCTCCTGTTGAAAGCCAATATGATTTGTCATTTCTTGAGGCATAACTAAAAATATAAAAACAATAATCAACTATCAATTACAAAAAATGCTTTTTACTTGCAAACATCATTAAAATCACAGAATAAGAATGGCATAGTTGAAAAACGTGGTAAACAAGAACCAGCATTCCCTTTAATTTTTTTTTCAAAAATCATTAAATTTATAAAAAATTATACCCAAGTCTTGATTATGTGCCTTTTCATTTCCTTCTAAATAAAGGAGAGAATATCCTTCCCATAGTTTGCGTGTATTCTGTGGGCAGGGCGGTACTTGTGTTGTTTGTGAATGTGTAACAACAATAAAACCTGAAATATCAAAGGATATTCAAAAATCTCTGAAATAAAATAAATACCGTCTTTATACGCAGGTCCTGGAGGACCAATCGAACCAGGTAAGCCTGGAGGACCTGGTGGACCAGGGGTGCCTTCAAGACCAGGAAAACCTGGTAAACCAGCAGCACCTTTTTCTCCAGGAAAGCCTGGCGAACCTGGATAACCAGGCTCTCCTTTCTGACCGGGAGAACCTGAGATTCCTTTAAAAAATTAATTATAGATTTAAAAAGAATTTTTTTACAAATACCAGCAGGTCCAGGAAGTCCATCCAAGCCTGGTGGGCCTTTTTCTCCATCAATACCTGGCAAGCCAGGGGCACCTCTTTCGCCTTTCATTCCTGGTTGAGTTAGCGGCAAAGGCCCAGGCATTCCCTAAATTTTTAATATTAAATAAAAACGGCTTTTTGAAATTTTTACCGGCAAACCAGGAGGACCCATTTCGCCCTTCTGTCCGTCCATACCAGGCGGACCTGGATATCCGGCGTCGCCCTTCGCTCCAGGCAATCCAGGTAACCCAGGATTACCTGGATATCCAGCATCGCCCTTTTGGCCAGGGAAGCCAGGCAGACCGAGTTCACCTTAATAATCAATTTAATGTTTTTTATAAAGTAAATGAATGAAATTTACCTTTCAATCCAGGTAATCCAGGCATTCCCATTTGTCCGGGAAGACCAGGTAGACAAGCATCACCTTTTTCTCCAGGAAATCCGGGAGGCCCTTGCAAGCCAGGTGATCCAGCTAATCCATCTTCTCCTCTCCTTCCAGGTGTTCCGGGTAATCCAGGCTCTCCCTTAATAAATTAATCTGTATTAAGGTTAAAAAATTAATACCTTCTGCCCGGGAAAACCAGGCTGTCCATTTTCGCCTTTAAGACCAGAAGCACCTTGTGGACCAGGTAAACCAGCTTCTCCTTTAGGACCAGTTAATCCAGGAAGACCATCTTTTCCAGGGATTCCAGGATATCCAGCTTCTCCTTTCGGCCCGACAAATCCTTGGCCTAAAATGATTTTATCTAAATGTAATTTTAATTACATACAAGGTTGCCAGATGACTTAATGCAGTATTATCTAGGCGTCAAAACCGGCTTTTTTTATAATTTTGGCTAAATTCTTTAGAATAATAGACTGCCCCTTATAAAAAATCAGCAAAAACACATTACTAAAAAATCTGTCTCATTAGGAACATTAGCAACCGTTATTTTATAAGTGTTAAGCTATACCTGGCAATCCGGGAAGACCAGGAAGTCCAGCTGTTCCTTTCGGGCCAGAAAAACCTGGTGAACCGTCCTGACCAGGTTGACCGGGGAATCCTGCCTCGCCTTTATCTCCAGGCAGTCCTGGCAGTCCATCTCGTCCTGGTGATCCAGACATGCCTTTGACACCAGGAAAGCCTGGCAGTCCAATCATTCCCTGTAAATTAATAAATAAAAATTGATTATAATTCGACAAACTTTAGGTCCTTCTGGTCCAATAGCTCCTGGCTGTCCTGGGAAACCAGGCTCGCCTTTAACACCAGGGTATCCATCACTGCCTCTTTCCCCAGGCAGACCAGGTAATCCTTGTTCACCTTTTTCTCCAGGAATTCCTGGCGAACCCGGGTATCCTTAAAAATAAATAAAAAATTTTAGCATTTTTAAATTTATTTTAAATATAAGAGGAAAATGTAAATATTTAATGAGGGTATACGGTTGATATGATCATATACAATTGCAAAACGACGTAAAAAGTTTTTATTGCCTCATACAATATGATTTATGTAGATGTATGCGGGTCCAAATCCTGTCCCGCAAAAATCTTGAAAAAATACCGTATACGGGATTGGGCAAACACGACTTTGCCGGCCAATAGATACATAATATGAATCCTTAAGACACACCCAAAACTGTGCAAGAATTACCAATTGGGTAGTTTTTCGGTTTGTATACCCCCTTTTTCTGACCATTTTTTCATTTCTTCCCCTTCTCCCTTATTTTTCATGAGACACGTATCATGAGGCCTTCAACTTTCTTATGAGGCCTTCAAACTGCCCCTCCATGGATCCGTTCTTTTAATAATTTCTAATTTAAAATTTTTACAATATCAAGTATTTAAAATAATTAAAAATATGACCTTCTCTTCCAGGCAAACCAGGTGAACCGGGTAGACCAGCATCGCCTTTAGGACCTGGCACTCCAGGGAAGCCTTCTCGCCCAGGAGGTCCATCTCGGCCTTGATAGCCCTTAGAAAATTTAAATGAATATTTTTATTTTTTAAATTACAGGTTCTCCTTTAAGTCCCGGGAATCCAGGCACACCATCAGCACCTCTTTCGCCGGTTGGTCCTTGACGTCCAGGTTTACCTGGGATTCCGGGTATTCCTTTCTCTCCAGGAAGACCGGGTTGTCCATAACCAGGCAGGCCTTGTTCTCCTTTTAGTCCTGGAAAGCCAGGAAGGCCTGGCGGACCTTCAAAATAAAAAATATTAAATATAACAAATAACACGCTTATAGTTTTTGTCTTTAGAATAAGGATTAATAGGCTATTTCACTTTAAGTTTAATTCTAGCGTCATTTGTCTAGAAAAATGTTCTTCTGCCTAAAATCTCCGTCTCCAATTATATCATAATTTAATAAATTTACGATATAAATACTTTTATTCTTAAATTTTTAAATTATGCATTACCTTGTGCTCCAACCATGCCTGGCTGTCCAGGAAAGCCAGTTTCTCCTTTAAATCCAGGTAGGCCAGGAAGTCCATCCTCTCCTCGTTGGCCAGGGAATCCTGGAAGACCTGCTTCTCCCTTAGGTCCATTCAATCCTGGCAGACCATCTCGACCAGGTAATCCAGGAAGACCGGGGTTTCCTGTAAATATTTCAGTCATGTTTATTTTTAACTAAAAATCAAAATATATAATGTATCCTTAAATTATTTCTCCTATCACCCGATCATTAAGTTTCCTTAAGATATTGTTTATTAAAAATTTTATGTATGCTAAATTTTTGATTAAAATAGATGAGGGCAGCAGACGAACAAATTATCTATATTATTTTTATTTACCTTTAGGTCCTTGTAATCCAGGCAGCCCACTTAATCCATCTGGCCCTCTTTCACCTGGCAGACCAGGATTTCCAGCGAAGCCCTGTTCACCTAGATAATCAAGATAAAATTATAGATACATTTATTTACCTTTTAATCCAGGCACTCCTGGAATACCAACAGCTCCTTTCATGCCTGGAAAACCTGGTGGTCCTGGTAAACCATCAGTGCCTAAAAACGATTGATTTCTAATCATTTCCAATTTGATACTAAATACCTGGAAGACCAGGATATCCGGCTTCACCCTTCTGTCCTGGAATTCCTGGCAACCCAGGCAGTCCATCAGCTCCTCTCTCTCCAGGGGAACCAGGAAATCCCGGCTGACCTTCAATGCCTTCTTTTCCTTAAAAATAAAACCTTTTAATTAAATAATACAAAAATATTGTGTTAGAAAACATCCACCAATTAAATTATATTTAGTATTCATTTTAGGATCTTAACGGACACTTTTCAGATACTATGCGCATTGGGGTTTTTCGAAACGACCCTTTAATTCTAGGGTCCATATTTGTAAGTATTTAATTTCCATCTTTATTCATTTCTTAATTAATATTTAAAAACGAAAGTCTCTAAAATTTAGGAAGATTAATGGAAAATTTTTTAATTCCGTTGATCTTTAAAAATATTAAAAAAAGACATATAAAGATGTAGTCTGACATGCCCTTATAATAGTATTTAATCAGTTTATGATGATTTACATAATAATTACATACCTGGAAATCCTGAAAGACCAGGCTCTCCTTTGAGTCCGGGAAATCCTGGTGCACCGGCTGCGCCTGGAAAACCTGATTGACCAGGCAATCTGTTATATTGTGATAAATTTATTTACATAGAATAATTATGTTTAAGAAACAAGCAAATTGTAAAATTTGCGTATATACTGAAAGAGCTCAAAATATGCATATCTATTTTTAGCTTGAAATTATAAACATTAATTTCAAAAACTATTGTTGAGTTTCCGTTATCCTAGTAATGATTAATATTACAAACCCTTCGAGACCAGGCTGTCCGGGAAGACCAGGTAGTCCAGCATCGCCTTTAAGGCCAGGAAAACCTGGAGGACCTGGAGGCCCGTGAATTGAAGGTCCTGGTTCGCCTTTCTGTCCAGTAAATCCGAGTTGACCAGGTCTGCCCGCTTCTCCTTTAGATCCTGGCAAGCCTTGAAGGCCAGGTTGACCTGAAAGAATTAATTAAAAAATAATTACTGTTATTTAATACCGGGCAATCCTTCAATTCCAATAGGTCCGGGCGGTCCTTCTAAGCCTGGAAATCCTGGAGAACCGGGTTCTCCTTTTTGTCCTGGTAGACCAGGCACGCCAGCAAGGCCATCAGCACCTTTATTAAAATAATAATTATTTCTAATTCAGGAAAACCTAATGTTTAAATATTTTTAAAATCTAGAATTAAATAATAAATTGATCTAAAAACCTGGTAAACCAGGGAACCCTGGCTCTCCTTTCAACCCTGGAAGGCCTGGCAATCCGGGTGGGCCATCCTTTCCAGCTGGCAATAAATTTAACGGCGGCATCGGTCCAGGTTCTCCCTTAATTGGATTAATATTTCACAAGAAAATAAAATTAAAAAATATTCATCATAAAATAAGTATTTTTAATAATCTATCTATTTTTTAATTTTAAAATATTCTAAATATCAGCTTTTTCTCGTAATAGCTTTTATCATTTTAAATTCAAATGCATCAATTGTAATTGTACATTGTTTGATTTCAATTTTAATTTCAAAATGTCATTGTCAATTAAATTCAAATTTTAATTTCACCTAAGACATACTATAAATAATTCCCTATTTATTTCAACTTTTTATTTATCTATTGTTTGAGAAGAATTTCTGATCATGTCTGTTTAAGCGAATATTAAAAGTTCAGTTTTAATTTTAATCAGTTCCATTTTAAGATTAAATCGTTTAAATGAAAAGAGAAAATTACTTTTTGTCCAGGAAATCCTGGTGCACCTGGCAGTCCTGCTTCTCCCTTTGGTCCAGGCAACCCAGCTGCTCCAGACAGACCATAGCCAGGTTCTCCTTTGGTGCCAGGCAAGCCGGGTAATCCATCTTGACCGGGCTTTCCAGGGATTCCATAAGCTCCTGGCTCACCCTAAAACGTTAGAAGATATAATATATTATCAACTTATTATCTTCGAATTATATTTTAGTAATTTTTACAATACTAAAACAGATATTCATTTTTACATGCCTTTTGTCCTTCAGGTCCTTGCGCTCCAGGAAATCCGGGTGCGCCTTCTTTTCCTGGCAATCCTTCTGGCCCAGGCGGTCCAGGAAATCCACCATCTCCTTTAGGCCCTGGATATCCGGGTGGGCCTGGTCGAAGACGCAATTGTGTTGGTTCACCTCTGAAGTTGGGTAAAAATTATATTTAACTAAACATAATAAGTAAATCTGAGCATACTTTAGACCAGGTACCCCAGGTAATCCATCTCTTCCTGGCAAACCAGGTGGGCCAGCCGGGCCAACTGCTCCGGGCATTCCGTCATCGCCAGCATCTCCAACCATTCCTGGCATTCCGGGTAGACCACGATCACCTTAATTTAATATTATTTTCGGAAATATATTTTATACTTTAAAAAAAATTAATGATAATTTTTACCTTGTGGTCCAGGTAATCCTGGATAACCTGCAAGGCCCTTCTCGCCTTTGACACCAGGTGAACAAATTGAACATTCACCACCACGTTCTCCTTTCATTCCTGGGATTCCTGGAAGACCTGGTGCACCATCACGGCCATCATATCCTTTTGGACCAGGGGCTCCGGGAAAGCCTGGTGGACCTGGCATCCCATTTAATGAATCGCCAGGTGGGCCTTTAAAAGTAAAAATAATTTTTGTTGGTTTTTATTTAGTTTCATCAGCTTGTTACCTCGCATTCCAGTTAATCCCATCTCTCCTTTCCTTCCTGGAGCACCATCCAATCCTGGACGACCATCTTTGCCTTGTAGTCCAGGAATTGCTATGCCCGGTGTTCCTAAATAATAAATTGTTACCTACTAGTATTTACATATAACTGCATATTTTCTCCCAAATCTTATTGCCAGTATTTTTATAAATTTATTTAGCTTATAATTTTAATTTATTTCTAAAATGAAAGTATTTTCACTATCATGCATATTTTCAATGTTTTCAAAAAAAATTTTTTTCGCCTTTATTTAAAATTATTACCTCTTGGACCAGGTTCTCCTTTCGGTCCTAATAATCCAGGCAGACCGGGCGGTCCAGCAATGCCTGGAGCTCCGGGAATTCCAGAATCTCCCTTCTCTCCTTTAATTCCCGGAGCACCCTCAAAACCAGGCAACTAAAAAAGATCATTTAATTTTAATTATTAATTGATTACTCACTCCTGGCACTCCGACACCTCCAGGTAATCCTTGCGGTCCGGGTGGACCTGGCGGGCCTGTATAACCGTCATTTCCTGGCAGGCCTGGTTGACCGGGACGGCCTGTACAAACATAATTTAAATAATTAGAGATAATTTAATTTTTACAAATATATAAAATTGATATATTAAAAAAGTGCAGGAATTGAAAATAAGGATAGTTCAAGTACAAAAATGAAGATTTAAAGGTACACAGTAAGTTTCCAAATAAAAGTATGCTTTAGATCCCCATAAAATGAAATTTTTCCACTTATTAAACTAAGGATTATTTAACTCACAAATATAGGTACATAGAATTAATTATAAAATTACCAGGCAAGCCAGGTGGTCCAGGCGGTCCATCAGAGAATTCCCCACCACCAGGTGGGCCAGGAGGGCCTCTTTCTCCTTAAAAATATTTATTTGAAGGAAATAACAGGTTGCAGTATTATATACCTTTAGTTCCATCCCTTCCTTGATATCCTTGTTCTCCTTTCTGGCCTAGTGGGCCAGGTACACCGGAAATACCGTCAACACCACGATCGCCTTTAAGACCAGGTGGGCCTGGATGTCCTGGTCTTCCTTCTTTTCCCTTAATAGATTTTAAATAATACAAGAATTTTGATCAAGCACTTTTTTAATTTCAAAAATAATTTAAAAATATTTTTTTACATAATTCATGCATATTTATTAAAAATTATTAAGAACTTACTCTAGGACCAGCAGGGCCAGGCAATCCTTTTTCTCCTTTAATCCCTGACAATCCCGGCTGGCCTGGTAATCCTGCTTGGCCAGGATATCCTCTTGGTCCTGGTTCTCCTGGTTCTCCCTTTAATTAAAAACTAATAATAATTAAATATAACTATTGACAAATGTCTTTTAATCCTCATAAAATATTAAAATTTTTTAATTAAATTATTTAAATACATTTAAAAACTACAAAACATTTTTGTCAAGTAATAATTAAAATTATATATGTAAAAAGAAGCACAAGCATCGGGACTTTATTAAGCTTTATTTTCTAATATACCTAATTCTATCTACGCTTCCTATTTACATACATATTGCTATCACGAAACAAACAATTGGTTAATAAAAAGAATTTTTTAAAATAAATATTAGATTTATTAAAACGCTTTAGTATTTGATTAAATAATAATTATTTTGAATAAAGCAAATACTAATTAACTACCTAAAACTACTATTTACTAAGCTTTATCTAACTGAAACCAAAAAATAATATTAACTTGCCTTTCCGCCTTTCTCTCCCGGAAAACCAGTTGGACCAATAATTGCAGCCTGACCGGTGAATTCACTTGGACCTGGAGGTCCAGGAGGGCCAGGCAGTCCTAAATCACCCTGTAAGAATTCAACAATTTAATTTAAATTTTTTTTTAATTTTGAGGGAATTCAATAAAGTTATAGAAAAATACTTTTAGTTTTTTTAAATTAATACTGAGTATTACATAAACAAGTTTGATTAAATTAAAAATGAATCTATTATTTAATTTTAACAATTATTAAAATATATTTAAAATTTAAATAACAATTACCTCATCTCCTTTTGGACCAATACTTCCAATTCCTGGGTTTCCAGGCAGTCCAACCTCACCAGGGGGACCACGCGGGCCCTGATAAAAAAATTTTATTAAAAAAATTGAATATACTTATTTATTTTATTTTTTAATATTAAAATTAATAATTAATACATATTTTAATCTAATTTTTTCACTCACTGCTGGTCCAATATCTCCTCTATCTCCTTTTTCACCAGGATAACCATCTCTACCTGGCGGGCCAGAAAGTCCAGGTACACCAGGAACACCGCTATCTCCCTTAATATTTTATAAGTGATTTTAATTAAATTCTCTTTTAACTTTTTCTCCTGGCGCACCAGCATATCCAATGGCTGGCTCTCCTTTTGGTCCATCTAGACCAGCTGTTCCAGGAAATCCAGGCAACCCAGGTGGTCCCGGCATTCCAGGCAGACCAGGAAGACCATCAGTTCCATTACAACCATCCCATCCGGGTGGTCCTGGTGGACCAGTTTCTCCAGGCTAAATAAATTAACTTTAAACGGTTCCTAAAAGTTAGTTTCACTCTTCCAGGATTTCCATCGTTGCCAGAAAATCCAGGCACGCCAATAGGTCCTCTATCTCCTTTCAGTCCAGGCGGTCCAGGTGGCCCTTGTGCGCCTTTCTGGCCTTTTGGTCCTTGCAATCCTTCAGGACCAGGAAATCCTCTACTTCCAGCTATTCCTGGCGGTCCTTGCGGTCCTGGAGGGCCCATCCCCCCCTTTTCTCCAACACAAAAACATCCACGTTGTGTACAATCTCTGCATGCATTTTGCTTAAATTATATGATGAATTTATTAAAATTTTTTAAATTTAATTTACCGTTTCAACAAATGTTAAACCGGTCAAGAAAGTTACAGATGTTACCAATAATAGTGGCCTCAAAAACTAATTTTTTCACAAAATATTTTTTAACTTACCAAATAGATAATCTAATAGGGATATTTGTTATTGTATCTATTCCTGTATTCCTCATTAATTTGCTTTTAAATGTTGATTTTTTCTTAGGTCCATGACTGCCAGAAATTCTCCTGAGCTGACCCATGATTTGCGCAGCTAATTTTTGCCTATTTTTGGGCAAAAATTTGATTTAAAATGTGTTAAAGCTATAAAAATAATTTTGTATTCTTAAGTTTATTTAATAAAATGACTATAAATTTGGTTAGAAATTACGGTAATTTATATTAAATATTTTTTTAATTAGTAAAGATTTAACTTTAAGTTGATTTCATTGATAATTCTTAAAAAGATCCTAATTTTTCAAACATATAAAATTAAGCTAAAAGTATACTGCATTTTAAAGAATTTTCGTTAATTTTTTATTAATTTTAATTTTTTATTTTCTATTGTAATAAATTCTCGTGAGAATTTAATAGAATTGTATAAAATTTAATTATTAAGATACATATACCTAAACTATTAAAAATATAAATAATATACATATTTAACTGTATTATCTTAAAAATGCATTTTATTTGGCGATATTATATAGTGAAAAATAAATGAAAATTGAAAAATATAATGGCTTTTGTGACTTATAGCTGTTTTTCTTCTTGACTTATTTGGTAGAATGAGGTATCATTCGAGAGAGATCGGAAAGCTGAGTGAGGGGATCGAGTTTCGGATGTGAGGGGATCGAATTCCGGGATCGAGTTTCGGACTTGTGAAAATTGGAAAAGAGAAGGGGGATTAAGCTCACTCTTTGGTGAAAAATTCATGGAAATGTTAACTCATTCGAAAGAGCTCCTCGAGCTGAGTCGAATGACATCAAAATTTGGTCGATTCGATGATTTTTAACAAAGTTACGAGCAATTAAATTTATGGTCGAATAACTTTTAGTGCGGCCATGGGGGTTAGCTCAGCAGCAACAATAACCTCTATTTAAACAATAGGTAAGGAGCTTAAACAAGCGAAAGTAATTTTGCCCACTCTTGCTAGATCGCGATAATTTTGGTGTCACTCAACTCAGCTCGAGGAGCTCTTCCGAATAAGCTATCATTTGAATATTCGAATTTTTCACCCCAAAATGAGCTTACTCCCCTCCTCTTTTTCAATTTTCAGGGGCCTATATCGGTCTCTAGGTATCGGATCGACCCGCTATAATTTCCAATAGACAATAAAATATGTTGAAAGTTATATTAAAAATAAATATTTATATGTAAAATAAATAAAAATTAAATTCTTAATCAATGAGCAAAATTCAAAAATCAGCAACAATAGAAAGGATTGTCCAAACGTCATTGCTTCAATCAAAAGAAGATGAGCAAAAGTATTCTCTAATATTTAGTTAACTAACTAAAATGTGCCTGCTCAATTAAGGGGGATATGGCGGGAATGATGACTCACAAATATACAAAAAGAGAAAAAGTATTTGAATGGCCTGAAGCTCTGGAAGAAACCGAAGATGGATTGACAAACGTTTTATATAGAGATTGAAGGGAAGTAAAGAAGAAGAAACGGCTGCAACAGATGGCCCTAATGGATTTTGATTTTGGAAGGTTGATATAAATAAATATATATTCAGAGAGAGGGGAGATTGAGTGCAAAAATAGTCTTTTTGGTTGATTATATATATTTTTAGTTAAAGATTATAGAGAAAGAAAAGAAATAATCGAATAATTGGAAAAAAATTTTGGAAGCAAAATATAATTTTAAGCCAAATCTTAGACCAATATATATTAATGGCGGCTGATCCTTTTTACTTTAATAATTTGTATTACACCTAATTTTGTTGGAATAATTTAAAAAATTAAGCATTAAATTAATATAAGTAATTAAAATAAATAGTTTAAACAAAATATACAAATATACATAACATCAAAATCGTTTAAATTGAGGGTTAAATTAGGAGGGTTGAGCCGAATTTAAAAATTACACGTAAAATTGAGGTATATATAGAGTTGGTAATGTAATAATTAGTGTATAAACATATAAGGAATTCTGCCGTTCCAATTCCCGAAATTCAGTAATTTATTTTTCAATGTCGACAGGATCCCTGAAACATTTACATTTAACCGATCATTTTATTCCAGATTAAGTAGAAATAAAGAATTGTTATAGGTATTTAATATTTTTGCAAAATCGAATCGAGAAATGCCTCTCTTTCTTTTTCATTTATATCCAAAATTTCCCTTTTTTATTAAACATCTTTCCAACTGAAAAGAATAAAAAGAGAACATTTGTTTGTTGCAGGTCCAATATATTTATTTAGTAAATAAAAATAAATATCACGGACCAATTGTGTAAATTCTTCTTTCATTCATTTTCTGCTTCAGCTACGAAAAAAGTTTGAAATACTTGTACATTTACAAATTCTAGCAGCTGCACAAATTGATCAAAAAATATTTATTTGTTGATTTCATTTTTTATATGACGCAATGCTTGAAAATAAAAATTTAAATTAAGTAGAAATAAAGAATTGTTATTACTCTTATACCTATAAAAAAGACAAATTTCCATTTTAAAAACTATTATCGGCCGGCCGAAGGCCGGACGCTCGACAGAAGCGTGACATCTTGGGGGCAACTTTTTACGGCGCATTCAGGAAAAATACGAACTCGGCGCCACGGCTTTTCCTTTGCGCCGAAACGACCCCATGTGATTTGCTATCTCGTGAACTAAAAGTCGGAGCGCTTAGGTCCCGCTGGGAGGGCACTGCTCCTCTATTAGGGGATTAATATAAAAAAAAAATTTTGGAAATCGGTTGAACACCCGGGGAGTTATAGGTGCGCAAACCGAAGTGTCGAATTGGCCAAATGTGGTGCCATTGGAGATTGGCAAAATGTGGAACTGTGGTATCTCGGGAACCACTGGGCGTAATTGAATGGGACCTGAGGGGTTATAGGTAAGTGGCCATGGGGAGTTTAATGGGATTGGCCATTTTGGTGCCACACTCAAGTGTGGCACCGAAATGGCCGGATAAATAATTCAAAGTGTTATAACTCTTTTTTTAGAAGTTGGGGGTTCTTGCGCCTGGGAGTGATGTTGGAGGGTAGAGTGTGGGGAAGTTACAAATAGTTGGACATTTGAGTCTCGGGTGAACTTTTGAGGGTCAAATGGGTCAAATTGTCAAAGTCGAAAAGTCGACTTTTTGTAACGTGAATTGAAACCCGTTTTCAATAGCCAGTTCGAAAGAGCATCCCCTGGCAGTCAGAAAAAGGTATAATATGTAGGGGGTCCACTTGAGTCTCAAAGAGTTATAGCCAATGTGACCAAATGGCGCAAAATTTTATGAGACTCTAACGTCCCGGGGAATTTTTAAAAAATTTTTCTGAGACCGGATATGGACTCAGCTGGTGTCAAAGCCCCATATAGTTCGTTTTTTGACTCAAAAATCAAAAATTTTTTTCCCGACCCCATCCCAAAAGGGGTACCCCTTTTGGGGGATTTTCGCGATTTTTTAAATCGCCATAACTTTTTACCGGATAAAGGAATCTGGATGGGGTTTCTTTTATAAAATAGAATAAAAAATTAGAAATTTTTCGAGCCGAAAAAATCTCGAAAAAATTCGAAATTAGGCACGAGGGGGTCGAATTTCGAAAATTCGAAAATTTTTCGGTTTTTCGAAAAAATTCCGGTATTTTTGCCGGTGGTTCGGGGCGTAGGCATTTTTCCTTGATAGAGCAGATTTTTCTGCATAGAATAAGACTTTAAAATTTTTACAAAAGGTCTACTTTGGGAAAGTTATGATTTTTTGAAAATTTTGACGATTTTTTCGGCCAAAATTTTCGGCGAAAAAAATAAATTTTTCAAAATGGCCATAAATAGGCCAAATGTTATATCATTCGAGAGCCCTTATCGGTGCGAGTTTAAAAATATTTTTTGTGAAATTTTCTTACCATTTTGGCCAAAGTTATGGAGGGTCAAATGTTTGAGTCTGGGGGGTACTTTTGCCGGTGGGGTACCATGGGAACGTTGTTTGATCAAGTATGGCCCATTCAAGCTGTAGAGTATCCTAAAATCATCCTAAAAATATATACTTTGTTGGGGGTCCGCTTGAGTCTGACACAAGTTCTGTGGGTCAGTAATTTCTGAAGTTGTGTGTCACTTCCGAGTGAAGTACAAAGTAAGGGCGACAAATAAAATATAGTATTTTAATGTTGTAGAACGTGTAATAATCCTCTGAAAATCGAAGGTTCACTTGAGTCTGGCCAATTTATGGGTAAAAAAGGATAAAATCTGAGTAAAACCCCTCAAAAATGGGGGCGAGGTCTCGAGTTTAAGAACTATCCTCGAGTCTCGACCTCGAGACCTGTATATTTCGACTCAGCTCTCCGAGCCCGTTTGAACGAGTACCCACATGCCTATACTTGGAGCAACTTTGTACCTTTCGAGCCCTCGAGCTCGAGTCTCGAGCTCGACTCGAGCTCGAGACCTTCACAGATCGATTCAGAATCCCGAGTAGGATTAACATATGCTTTGCCACCTTAGTCTGACCGAGTAATGGTCAAAAATGACCAATATTGTGGAATCAGCCCCTCAAAAATAGGGGCGAGGTCTCGAGTTTGAGAACCAGCCTCGAGTCTCGACCTCGAGACCTGCATATTCCGACTCAGCTCGACGAGCCCGTTTGAACGAGTACCCACATGCCTATACTTGGAGCAACTTTGTAACTTTCGAGCCCTCGAGCTCGAGTCTCGAGCTCGACTCGAGCTCGAGACCTTCACAGATCGATTCAGAATCCCGAGTAGGTCATTTTGGCAAAAAATGTCAAAATGGTAAATTTCAAAATGGTCAGGGCTCAAAATGGTCAAAATCTCAAAATGGTAACTCTGGGGCAGGGGAGTACTATGGGGGGTATGGGACTATATAAGGAGGAGGATATACCCCATATTTCTCATTTCCAGTCATTTTTTCAAATCATTTATTTTTTTAAAAAATATGCTCTCTAAAAAATAAAAAAATATTAAATTTAATTATAAACCCAAAATATTTAATTTATTTATTCTCCCCTCTCTCTCTCTAACCCTCCTCTCTCTCTCTTCTCTCTCTCTCTTCTCTCTCTCTTCTCTCTCTCTCCCTCCTCTCCTTCTTCTTCTTCTTTTTCTCTCTCTCTTTCTTCCTCCCTCCCCATTCTGGGGTTTC